GGAAGCCAAAGAATATGTGTGGGAAATCTCAACCTTCTAGCTTTTGTAGTTTCTGAGATCTCAGCGTTCATACAGACAGACAGACGGACAGACGGACAGACGGACAGACGGACAGACGGACAGACGGACAGACGGACATGGCTAGATCGACTCGGCTAGTGACCCTGATCAAGAATATATATACTTTATGGGGTCGGAAACGCTTCCTTCTAGCTGTTACATACTTTTGCACGAATCTAGTATACCCTTTTACTCTACGAGTAACGGGTATAAATAGTCCAAAGATCTTGAGAATAAGATACTAATTTTTTTACTCAAAATTTGAAATTTAAATGAACCCTTTAACCTGAGCATATTTAAGCTTTATCCGGTGTTATAAAAACCAATAAATACATCATTTCTAACTGTTAAAAAAGTTATTCCATTTTCTTAGTTTTTAGTCAAAACCCACTGATTTTTTCTGCCCGTGCAGGATCATCTTCGAGCCCTCTGGGGGACACTCGACAATGGGCCAAATGGCTGGCTCGAAAAGGCAAAATGCAGGCGACTCGTAAATCCGCCTCGATTGCTTCGCCAGAAATCCATACTGAATTGATTGCATTTGGGGCAGGATAAAAACAGAAGGGGGGGTCGCAGATCGGTGGTCTCTGCTCAAAATGTTGCAATTAATTTTTGCACAATGCTCTTTGTGCTATTTAGTTCTCGATTTTGCAGCATTATGGCAGCGGCGGCTCCTCGTTGCCTCGCTTAATTGCCCCCGAAAAAGATCGCTGACAAAAAGGCGAGGAAAAAAAAGGAGGAACTCCAACGCAAAACAGTAGCTCTCCAGAAAAATACAGCAGAAAAAAGAAGTAAGAGGACGAGAGGACTTAAACTTGGACTTGGACTCCTTTTGGGCTCTTTTTGGGGCCTTTGATTTGCATATATTTTGGTTTTAATTAGTTAACAAGCTGCTTTCGTTTGTTGCGATTGCATGTTGAACCACGACGCGTATCGTAGATGCTGCAGGTCCCTCCTTCTCCCCTCCGCCGAAAGAAATCCCCTGAAATTGCATGCATAAGGAGCGGACAACAACAGCAACGTATAAAATCAAACACGATTTTTAGCAGTTTTCAATTCCCGGAAATCTTGTACGATATGTAGCACCATACAACTGCGGATTGTGCTGATTGTTGGCCTGCTCGCTGCTCCGTTGCTGCTGCTGCCGTTGTGGCACTCTTAGCCGTTTTCCATTCCGTTCCCTATCCTATCCTATACTTGGCCAAAAAGCCTGGCTCAAGAGTTGGCGCGCGATACGATTCCGATTCCGATTCCCATTCCGATTCGCCAGTATCGTGCAAATGTTTCATTATTTAACTGATTTCAGTTGGCCAAAGAGCCAGGCAGCCAAAACAGCCAAACGACGATGGCCTTAACAGCTGTGGGCCCGAAGAATTGGCGACAACTCCGCGTTGGAATACCAACGAAAATTCCAAGATGTTGTCATCAATTAAGCTGCCTCGTATGCAAGTGGAGGCCAGTTCGCACCTGAGAGAACTTTATTAGGCCGCGATGGGCCTGAAAAAAAAACATCGCTGCAAGATGCGTAAATTATGGTCTAGCCCATTGGGGCCCAAAAGCAAATGGCGCTGGCCAATAAAATGCCAGATAAATCAGAGGCAGAGGTGGAAATCAGCAGTCTCCGGGAGTTTAGCGAATTCAGCAGAAATGAGCCGAGACTTATTTGCATTCGGATTCGCATTCGCCCTGTTGTCAGCCAAGTTGTCGTCGCCAAGTTGGCCTTCTTCGCCCCCAGTCCCCCCTTTGAGTTTTTGCCATCCTGCTACCGACGACAGTCTGCAAGAAAATAAAGCAAACTAAGAGCCAAACATGAAAACTGTTGCCCACGAGTCTGGCGAGTACGCGGTAGAGCATCCAATCCAATCCAGACCAGACAGCCTTTTGTTCCATCTTGTTAAGGCCTGAACTTTATGCCAGCTTCGGGTTATTGTTTCTGGGCAGGGGTCCTCCGGTGCCGCAGTTCCAGGAAATTTTCAGGTGGCACAGCATGTTCGGGCCAGACACACTTTTGGTGGCCCTGGCCCTCTCGTGCAACAACCATTGTGGGGGCCTTCAATTAAAATATATTTAAGAACAATTTGGTTAGAAAAGAAAAGAAGGGAGTTAAGGGCTAATGTGCACTTGATGGTCTAAAAATACCATTTTACCGGTATACTTTAGTTTAGGGTTTTAAAACATAGTAAGTTAGTTAGTTCGTTTTGTAAGTCTTATCATACATAGTTTAATATACCTTTAAAAAATTAAAATAAATACAAAAATATCCAAGAATTTTAGAAACATGTTTTTAAGAACTTACATATATTTTCCTTGATATCATAAAACCCTGCAAATATAACAAAATAAACCTACTAATTAAAAAATAAAAATAATTTCAAAAACATCCTAGAATTTTAGAAAAATGTTTATAAGAACTTACATATATTTTCCTTGATATCATATAAACCTGCAAAGATAACAAAATAAACCTATTACATATTTCACTAATCATTACTCCAACTAATCACTTAACTATCTGCTCATCTTACAAACAAGTCCCAGAATCTCAGAAACCCCGTGAGATAGTAGACCACAAATTAATAAATTATCTTGGGCAAATAAATTAAGTATTTCTGCGTAAATTTATGGTCAACACCCCGCCTAGTTTTTTGTTAATGTGATTTGCTCATTCTTAACTCCGTTCTTTTTGTTTTCATTTTCATCATTTATTTTTTTTTGCATTTGCTGACGGCTTTTCATCAAAGGAGTCACGATGATGGCAACTGTGGCGCATACAAATGATGGATCTGGCTCGATGGGGTCTGCGAAAATATATAAAAAACAGCTACAGCAAATTTAAATGTTGTTTGGGCATGTTTTATTTGTCATTATATAATCAGCACAAGTCGCACAAATCGCTGAAAATTAAGCAGAAAGAACTAAGCACCGTCTGTCGGCCTTTGTGGCAGCAGCCAAGAATATCATTTTTATTTTACACATTAAATACAGTGGGGTTCAAGAATATAGAGATGTAAAAAATAGAGCCGATTTATTCAAACTAGTTCAGTTATTTTTGCATCCATTACCTTTTATAGATAATGATTAATTACGAATTGCTATTGCTGACAATTTAAAATCAGATAAAACCACTTGCAATTAAAGAGCAATCATCAAATCATTTAATTAATCCGTTGAGTTATTGACAGACATAAGACAAATTTTTCGTTTTAAAGCTATGAACCGCACTGTCTACTTGTCTTTACGATTTCATACGACATCTGAGCGGAGGGCATATGCGTAATGTTCGTAAATGTTTTCAGCGTGTTTATGTTTGTTTATAGTTTTGGCATGAAAATTTACGAGCACGTCGTTAGCTGGATTTTTTTTTTCGGAGATTCGCCTAAAGTTATGGCCGAATGTTTGGCTTGTGGCAAATGGCCGCGAAAAGAGATGCTTATCGCTGGCACTGTTAATACCCCGCATTTAAAAGTGTAATTAACGCAATTTGAAATATGAGGCGAGGCGAGCGACGCAAACGAAAGACTCAGGCAACGAACGCGCAATGTGTGAGGCGGCAGGAATTCGGATTTGGATTTCCAAAGGAAGCAGGAAGCCGCAGCCGTGGGGCATGAGAGTATTTGATTATGACTCACTCGCACGGCTCGTGCTTGACGCGTATTCCTGGAAGTCGAGGTGTCCCCCTCGAAAGCAACACTATCCTCCGGTAGCAATGCCTTGATTCTGCACACAGAATTCCTAATTAGCCCAGGGCCAGGGCCACTCGTTCCTGCTCGCTTCCCGATATTTATGCGTTCATAGGGCTGTCTGCATCTATCAATCGTTAACCTGCAACGTCTGCATTTGGGTGGCCAGCTACTGCCGGTCGTCTTGCCTCTATAAATTACATTCGAACAAGTGTTTGGAATATTTGATGCTCGCAATCGCCGCCATCTCGGCTATGCGTAATTTATGAGACTCACTTTGGTTTTTGTTATGTTTTTATAATTTGTCTTTATTGGTTTTTCATTTATATGTCGTTTTCTCGCTGCTGTTTGTATGCCTTGCTCGTTTTCAGTTTTCTGTTTTCGATTTTGGTTATTGTAGTTTATAATTTGCATTGCTGTTTCATATAAATTATCATAATTAACTAGGTGAATGTTAATGAGCATAGGAAAAGCGTGACAAGGCCTAAGGATCTCAATTTGGGTTCAGCATTTTAGTTTTTGGCTGTAGCTAGAAAAACTCAACAATTTGTTTTTTTGCGTATTTTACATTCAATCTTGGAATTTCTTTAACTATGGCTTTCGCTTGCTTAGTTGATTTTACATTCATATTGTTTAAATATATATATATATTCATAGTTTAAAACGTCTTCATAATTTATGCTTTTCCGTCGCTTAAGTTTTTCAGTTTTCGCTAAGCAAAAATTCCAGTTAAAAATAAATAATCTGCATTGAAGCGCATAAGCGAAATGTAAATTATATATTGTATACAAAAATTATAAAAATAATAATAATTATATAATCACACCAATAAACACTAAACATAAGTCTAACTAATCATGGAGACGGCCAACGAAATTCGTAGAGGCGACATACATATACATATATTGGGGATAAATGGTCGATCAAGCCAGAATGAAATACTAAATACGCACGAGCGCGTCGTGTGGGTTGTGTGTTCTTGTTCTTGTTCTTGTGGGTATGGTGTGTGGTGTGTCGGCATAGATTAACTAACAAAACTTACAACGTACACAGAATTCATTTAAGCATCTTCCCTTTGTGAGTCTACAAATTCGAGACAGTCGAGCACCCGAACCCTGCATTGCGAAATCACATACAACATACACATGCAGACACTACCATACGTACAAACAGATCTTTCAAGGCATAGATATTACTCGCTGTGGTTTAGTTTGGTTTTTCAATCTTGTACCCCAATTAGTTGGCTTACTGCTGGCTTTGCTCATTGTTCATCACTCTGCAAATTATTATTAGTGTATATATGTATATATAGTTGTTCTGTGTGAGATATTATTAGTGCCTAGTGTGTAGTGTGTGTAGAGGGTAGGGAGTTGTGTGTGTGTGTGGGTTTTCGTTATCTAACGACTTTGGCTTTTCGAATGTTGAATTAACCACTGCAGCGTTATGTCAATGTTGTCCTTCTCCTTGCAGGAAATACTATAACAGCAGATTTCACGGTCCTGTATGCTCGATAGATTCCTGGAATTCAGTTTAAGTCATGAGTTACAAATATTATGGATGGTTTTATCAAAATCTAAGCTACTCACATGCGTTCGATGAGCCCGGTTTCATCGAGGGCGCCTGGAAGATCACGTTTGTTGCCCAACACGAGCACTGGAATGCCTGCGAGCTGCGGTTTGTCCAATAGTGAGTGCAGCTCGTTCCTCGAGGCCTCCAATTTGTCCAGATCGGCGGCATCCACCATGTAGCTGTTGATTAATAAATAGCAGTGTTAATTGGCTTCCCTTTGTTGCTTAACCTGCATTATTGCTTACACAATCGCATTAACGCCGCGACAGTAGCGCTCCCACATCGATCGGAATCGAGGCTGGCCTCCGATATCCCACACCTTGATAGTCACATTGCCCCGGGTGATCTTGCGCATGTTGAAGCCCACTGTGGGTATCATGTCCTCAGCGAATTGGCCGGACTGAAAAAAAGAAAAATATTAAATATTACAAATGTTGTATAGTCAGGGAAGATTTGTAAGAATGAGGGTTAATTTATTGGTTAAAAGTGCCATTAATTTTCAAATATGTATCTTTTCTACCCAATAATGCCCAAAAGTATGCAGTTAAAAGCAAATGTAAAAATCGAGTAAACAATATTTTACATTCTGCAGCATCCCATTTTTGGCATTTTCTTTAAGTTTACTAAATCTAATTATAAAAATTTTAAATTTTTTTAAATTTTAAAAACTTTGTAATCTTGAAGAAAGTAATGTTATTTAACGTATCCTAGAAACAAGTTGTCTAAATAAAATGGGAATTTTCTAAAATGTTGTAACTAAAAAACTTAAAAAGTAAAAGTGAGACAGTATTGATAAAACCAAAATAAATTATTCCGATATAAAAGGGACTCAACTCGAAATAACTCATAGTAAAAAGAAAAGAATGACTAAAATATTGTTCATATAGAAAAAATAACATGTATAAAAACACTTTAAATTCCAAAGATATTATTGATGTGATGAATTGCAATATAGCAAGACAAATATAAACAAGAGTTATGGTTAAAATGTAATAAGAGTTATTTAAAAAGCTAAAACTATAATGGTATTTTCCAAACTCAGCGAAAATCATTGGTCAAAGAACGTCTGAAGTCGTGTAGTAAACAAATACCTATGAAGTGGGAAAGTGATGACTCCCCGTCACCCGCAAGTCTGTTTGCAATCCGAACCTGAACATTACAGTAATGGATGAATCTGAGTAAACATTGGATTACGCGGAGTCTAATAACAGTGATAAGCGGGGGAAAATTCCATTTTGGGAGCACTTGGGCAAACACATTTCCAGTAGATGCGGGCATTCATTCGAATTAAATTCGCTTGCTCGCTGGACTCACATGACTCATAAGTCAGGCGGCACAAAGGCACTAACTCCACCTCCCAAAAACCCCTGGGAAATATAACTATACTTTATACTATTTCAAGCTGGAAACTTTAGATCGCGTCTTTATCAGCGTGCAGAAAAGTGTGACAGAAATAAGGAGGCGGTTTGGGGGGCGGGGTCAGGGGGTCGTAGCGCTGATAATGGCGTCATTGTGCGGAAAACATGCGTATATATGGTGTATAGGTTTATTGATTACGGTCGACGGGAAAACGGTAAACTTTAGCACTAAAATAAAACGGTTAGCACAGCGTTAATTATTGATGCAGTGAAAGAAAAGGGGGCTGATATAAGAAATAAACAAAGGGAAAGTGGGGGCACTGAGCTCTAGCAGTTCCTTTGTGATTAGGGGTTTGTGTTTGGTTCTTTAACCGACGATATAGTCATGGCCGATCCCCCGGCTTTCTCTGCGCCCCCCCAAAAAAAAACCACCCTTCCACCCATACACTGACAAATTCGCACACACACACACACACACCCAGTGCGAAATACTCACTGCAATAACATTGACGAACGTCGTCTTCCCGGAGAACTGCAGCCCCACCAGCGTCAGTTCCATCTCCTCTTTCCAGAAGATGCTCTTGAACCACTCGAGGATCCTGTTGATGAGGGCCAACATCCTGGGGCAGGTGTGCTTGGTCGGGATCTGGTTGAAATCGCGAAAAAAGGTTTCCTTTTCCAAAGAGCGTAAGGTTGGCGTGAAAAAAAACAACTGAGGTGGAGAAACATCGATGTTTTTTGGCGACAATCGATGTTTCAGTCACATCACCAATTTTAAAGTGTTGAAAAATGTGTTTTTAATTTAAGTTATAGTCTAGTCACACTATTTCGGATTACTCCAAAAAAGTGTTTCCACTGGGTTAACTCCAAATATTGTTGTTTTTTTTTGTTTATTTTACTAGGGAGGACCTAGGAAATAAATACACAATATACCAAAAAATGCAAAAATAAAGCCTTTGTTTTTTTATTTTAATATAAACCATAAAGGTCTTGCAGTTGGGCTGTTTTACTTATTTATTAAATTATTAGAATTAAAATAAATAATTTTTTTTCAAAGCATTGATGTTTAATTTATGTTTTTTAAACATCAAAAATATTGATAACTGCGAACACTTTGACGACGAATAATTAAATTTTGTTATACTTTCGAAAAAACAACAAACTTCTTATGCATCCCTTTTGCGCCAAAAAACTCGAACAAAACAGGCCTACAGGGTGAATGGTAAAAGTTTTTAAATAAATAAATTCAATAAGTTTTACAGTTTAGTTTAAAATATTTAATACTGCAATAAATAAGAATTGGAAAAATATTAAAATTCTACAAATTATTTTTGTTGGATATTTTAAATATATAATATAATAATTGGTAAAAAATTATTTAAATATTCTTCAATAAAATATAATTTAAAATAAGTGAAAAATCGTAATATTTAATATTGTAAAATACATACAGAGTGCTTACTGTATTTCATATCGATAACTGGCCAATCGAATTCTTTTGGTTTCGTAGTGACTGGCAGTTTGGGCAGAAGAAGATAGTAAACAAAATGGTAAGTCGCGCATTTATTTATTAAATTGTAATTAAAATGTGTAATAAATGTTTAATTTCAGGCGCGAAATGCAGAGAAGGCAATGTAAGTAATCCTGGTATAAAAAAAACCACTTCAATTTTAACACCCATGCGCTCTTTTCGACAGGACAACATTGGCACGTTGGCGGGCCGCAAAAGAAGTGGAATCCGGCGAAAAGGAACGCCGGCCCTATTTGGCCTCCGAGTGCCACGATTTGCCCCGCTGCGAGAAGTTCCGCCTGGAGATCATACGTGATATATCCAAAAAGGTGGCCCAGATACAAAATGGTACTTATTTGGTCTCAGTTTCCTCGAAAGACTTACTTATACCCGCACTACTTACAGCTGGCTTGGGTGAATTCCGCATCCGCGATCTCAACGATGAAATCAACAAGTTGCTGCGCGAGAAGCGCCACTGGGAAAATCAGATATCTTCATTGGGAGGCCCGCACTACAGGCGCTATGGTCCCAAGATGTTCGATGCGGAGGGTCGCGAAGTTCCGGGCAACCGAGGATACAAATACTTTGGAGCCGCCAAGGATTTGCCGGGTGTGCGGGAGCTCTTCGAACAGGATCCTCCGCCGCCGCCCAGAAAATCCCGCGCCGAACTGATGAAGGATATAGACGCAGAGTACTATGGCTATCGGGATGACGAGGATGGCGTTCTGATTCCTCTGGAGGAATGCATAGAACGGGCGGCCATCCAGAAGGCGGTGCAGGAATGGAGGGAGAAAATGGCCAGGGATGGCCGCATAATCGATGACGACGAGGAGGAGGACGAAATATATCCCCTTTCGGGACCCGCTCGCGAAGCCATCGAGGATGCCAAGGCCCGAGCCGCAGTGGAGGATCCCCACGGCCTGTTGGCCCCCAAATTCACCGCCCATGTGCCCGTGCCCACGCAGCAGGATGTCCAGGAAGCGCTCCTGCGCAAGCGGAAGCAGGAACTCCTGGAGAAATACGCCGGTGGCGCCAACTAAGCTCAATAAACATTCTAATTTCTTAGTTTGATTTTTCAATAACTTATTTTGTACATTTGATATTGAAACATTACTCATTAAGTTCAGTTTTTTAATCCCCACAATGGGTTTATTTCGGTGTTTTATCTATCTTTGGATAGAAGAATCGTTAAACAAATTTGTTAAACAAAATTTCAAGGCACTTCAATGCGCTGTGGTCTCTAATAACTACAAAATGCAAACTGGAGATTCAATCAGAAGTTAAATCTATCGAAGTTGCGGCCTCCACCGCCGCGACCGCCACCGCCACTGCGTCCTCCTCCGCCGCCACCAAAGCGACCTCCTCCTCCTCCACCGAATCCGCCGCTTTCAGCAGCGCGCCTCTCCTTCATGGCCTTGAAACGCCTGGCCATGTTGTGCAGCTCCTCGGGCACTTCCTGCTCCGCCTCCTGCAGGATTTCAATCAGCTCCTTGGCCATGCCCCAGTCCTCGCGAGTGATAAAGCTTATCGAGGTGCCCTTGCGTCCAGCACGTCCCGTGCGACCCACGCGGTGCACATACTCCTCGATGTTGCGGGGGAAATCATAGTTGATGACATGTCTAAAATGAGGGATAAAAAATTATAAAAGCTGTATAAAACAGGGTTCGGAAATTGACACACATGTGAAAAACATGAATGAGCAAAATGGTTGACATGTCTGTCAAATACAAAAGTGTTAAAATGTGAAAAATAATTACTTGTGTTTTTAACACAAATAAAAACTACATTTTCCGGACATTAACGAGTCGAAGGGAAAATGAAAAACCAATATGATATCTTATGTTAGTTTTAAGCATTTCAAAGCATATATGAATTCTTATACTCTAGAAAACCGGTCATTTTCCAATATGATATCTTATGTTAGTTTTAACCATTTCAAAGCATATATGAATTCTTATACTCTAGAAAACCGGTCATTTTTCAGTTCAACATACTGACACTTGAATGTCAAAAACTCATTGTGTTAAAAACACGCTGTGTAAAAAAAATCGTCGTGTTAATAACACGTTATTTATGTTTCTATGTAGAATACAATTTTTTACACACAAGTCAATAACTTTTTTTGAACTTAACAATTTGACATTTAACATGTTGTATGTATTTTCCGAACCCTGGTATAAAATAACTATATAATATTTGCTTACGAGATGTCCTCGATGTCCAGGCCACGAGATGCCACATCGGTGGCCACCAGGATGTGCACGGCGCCCGACTTGATGTCGGCTATGGCCTGCTCACGGTCGCTCTGATCGCGATTGCCATGGATGCACTGGGTCATGAAGCCATCCAGCGTAAGATCACTGGACAAGTCATCGGCGCGAGCCTTGCGACCGCAGAATATTATGATCTTGTCCGTTTTGGTCATGTTCCTCACGAACGACTTGATCGTGCTGAACTTCTCCTTGTCGTCCTCCAGCAACTCAATCACCTGCTTCACCGAATGCGTGGCCGCCAGATCGAGCGAACCGACGCACACTTGGATGGGATTCTTCATGTAGCTCTGCGCCAGACGGCGAACTCCCGGTGGCCAGGTGGCAGAGGTCATAATGGTCTGTCGATCCGGGCGAATGTCCAGCATTACCTTGCGAATCTGCGGCTCGAAGCCCATGTCCAGCATGCGATCGGCTTCGTCGAGCACCAGATACGTGATGGTGCTCACATCGATAACGTTGGCCTGGACGAGATCATTAAGGCGGCCCGGTGTGCAGATGATGATCTCCGCACCGCGCTCCAAGTCAGAGATCTGCATGCGACGGTCGCCACCGCCGTACACACAAACGCTGGAAATTAAAACGTTTATCCATTAGAACTTTTGTGATAAATACAGAAAATCGTAAAAAAAAATGTATAAACTAAATTATGAGTAGACATCGGATTTTATTTTTTTAAATATTATTAAAAAATTTTTTACAAATCTAAATCTATTTTTAACTTAATAAATAAAATTTATAACCAATCAAATTTGGCTTTAAATCGTATTCTAAAAAAAAACGATTTCACCTAAAATCCGATATCTAATTATGAGATAAAAAACACAAACTTTACTATTAAATTAACAATGAATACAGTTTTATTTTTATTCTTAAATATTAAAAGCGATAATAATACAGAGATAGGTACAATCATAGCTCAGAGTCTTATCGACTTTAGTACTTCACAATTGTATTTAAAGCTCGTGACACACGGCGAACATTCAGATAATGTCAAACATTTGTCATAGCCTTTTAAATCCCAATTAATTCCTTATGGGAAGCAGCTACAAAGGCTCGGTGGGCCAAATGTCCGCCGCTAACAAAAAACTTCAGCAAGGAGGCGGCAAAGGTAGACCATCTTAATAAGTCACAAATCAAGTGCATTGGTGCTGATTAATAACAACATTCCATTCCATATCCAGTTTGAAGCTTCGATCAGTGCTTTGCAAAATACCCGGGTCTGCTGGACAAGATCATCAAAATGGGATTTCCGAGTCCTCTTTGATTGCACGGACAATTAGCCAGTATAGATTCTGATTCTGCAAATACCGTTTGAGTTCCTATGCTTATTTTAAAATTAGGTTATAAATTTTATACTGAAACAACTATTTACTATTTGGTTGCCCATAAAACAGTTGTCCAATACTCACGTTTTTTCGATTCTTTATAAATATGGTTAACAAAATACATAGATAATCCTAAGGATTCAGGGATTTTTCTTAGTTAACTAACTTATTATCTGCCAACGATGATACTCACGCTTTCATGTCGCGGAAGGAGTACTTCTTCACCTCCATTTCAATCTGAAGGGCCAACTCTCGAGTGGGCGCCAGTATGAGGACGTTGGCACCGCCCCTCTGACCCCTTGGGACGCTCTGGTACTCCGTGTGTATCATGCCGGGCAGCAGGAAGGCCAGTGTCTTGCCCGTGCCCGTTTGAGCGATGCCGATCATATCGTGTCCTTGGAGGAGAATGGGCCACGCCTGCGATTGAATCGGCGAGGGCTTGGAGAAGCCCATCTTGGTGATCTCGCCCAGAAGATCCGGGTATTCGGAAAAGCATTGGTCGAAAGTCCAAACTGGATTGGGAATGGGCGGCGCGGTCTCTCCCTCTTTCGGCTCGAAAACGTGAGAGACCGAGGTGTTGTTATTATCAGCACGAATGCGCTCGATCTGGGACTCGGTTAGATTGGCCACCTCTGGCGCCTCCTTGTAGAAGTTCTTCGTCAGCGGAGGACACTTGGCCCACCGAGCCTTAGTGGCTGCTTCCTGTAAGGAATTAAATGGGATTTAGAAAAGCTATTTGAATGTTTCCCGTATATCACGAGCTTTAAATATAACAGTGATATTTTATGTTTGTCGTATTTTATTTTTAGAATTAAATTAAACCTATATTATTTTGTAATAAATTTGTTTTAATATTATCACATATTTCAATTTTAACTAAAAGACAAAATATTCGACATTAAAAATAAAATGGTTTTCTAAATAAGAAGTTTTTGTTTAATTATTTTAAATTTTAAGATGGAATATAAAATATTTAACATTCAAGAATTGTATTGATTAATATGGTTTGTAACCAAAATTATCTTCTGATTTGAAACTGTAAATTGTATTTTTATAAAACAAAACAAGAGAGAACGCTATAGTCGGGTGCCCCGACTATCAGATACCCGTTACTCAGCTAAAGGGAGTGCGAAAGAGATGGAGAAAAACTTTGATCCGCCGTAACTTTTTAACGAATGGTCCGATTTAAAAAATTTCTTCTACATTTCGATAGGTATTGATAAACACAATAAAACTGCATTTTTACTTTTCCAAAATATTGAAATTTTTAAAATCGTATATAAGCGATTGTGGGCGTTAGAGGGGGCGTGGCATCCTTTTGAAACAAACTTGCGCTGCGTAGGAACTCCTATAATCTGCATGCAAAATGTCAATCTTCTAGCTTTTATAGTTTCCGAGATCTCAGCGTTCATACAGACAGACAGACAGACAGACGGACATGGCTAGATCGACTCGGCTAGTGATCCCGATCAAGAATATATATAGTTTATAGGGTCGGAAACGCTTCCTTCTACCTGTTACATACTTTTGCACGAATCTAATATACCCTTTTACTCTACGAGTAACGGGTATAAAAATTAAAAATACGATACAAAAAATGAGTTTATTTTTTAAATGCTTCCTCAAAATTATTAGAGTTTTAAACATTTAAATGACCTTTAAATAAGTAAAACTAAATTTGGTATGCAAAATTAAATTTAAAATTATGGGAAACAGTAAGAGTTATCGACTTAAGTTTTTTTCTACTTACCGAAGCCTTATTAAGGGATGCCCAATCGATGGAGCCGGTGAGATCTCCACCATCGTTATTAGAGGATGCCGGCGGATTGAATTCGTAGCTACTCCCCTTGGATCTGCCATATCCGCCACTTCCTCCTTCATAGCTCCTACCGCCTCCTCCATAACCTCCTCCGCCGCCACCATCTCCTCCGTAGGAACCGCTGCCCCTTCTATCACGATCCCTTCCTGAATCACTGGAGACCTGCTTGCGAACGTGTTCGATGGCATCGGTGACGTTGCTCTGGGAGCTGCCCGATATCTTGACTACCAAATCGTTCTTGTCCACATTCACGCGGACATCGAAATCGGTCTGAATCCGGGATATATTTGATCCGGCTTTTCCAATTATCCTTCCGATCATATCGGAAGCGATGCTCAGAGATTCACTGAAACCGCCTCCGTAATCATCGCGATTGTCCCGATTGTCACGGCGTCCTCCTCCTCCGTAATCATCGCGATTATCCCGATTGTCACGCCTTCCTCCGCCGTAACCTCGATTATCCCGGCGATCTCCGCCGTAATCATCGCGGTTTCCACGATTATCGTCCCGCCTCCTGTCGCCACCGCCGTATCCACGAGAGTTGTCATCGCGTCTGAGGCTCCTTTCGTACTTATCATTCATCTTGGAGTACTCCTGAACCTTGGCCGGAGCCTCCACGTAATTTGGATCGTCCCAATCGAGCTCAGACATATTGGAATCCGCTCGACGCTTTATTTTGTAGGAATTCAGAGAAAAAACGCAGGGCACGTGAAAAATGCCGACTTTGCAATTCGCTCGTGCGCTTTCAAACGGTAAATTCGCGTGCGTGTGTGTGTGTTTGATGGCCCAAAACTGAGCTTGCACAGCGAAAATCTGACGCTGATTTAAAGAAAGAAGCTGCAAGGGCACTCAAATAACCTAATGTTCCGGAAATAATATTTAATAATTATTTTACTCACTCGGTGTCAGTTTAGTCACTTCATTCTAGTCGGAAAACTCGGCCAAAAGGAAAGTTAAATGGACCGCTTTGACAGACGCTTTCGTGGAAGGGTTGTATTTCGACTAGGGATGGAAGCTCAATCGATTAATCGATATTGCAATCGAATATTATTTGTATTCCTGTTATCAAACCAAATTAAATTGAACTCGAAATAAAAAGTTATGGATTGAGTAATATAGCATATTACTCTTAAGTTTAAAAGTAATTTTTATCAAAACTCGAACATTTAAATATCAGAAAGAATTAATATTTCCATTTTATGTTCCTAATTTATTTAATAAAAAACCCACAGAACTTCGTGGGAATCCCAATCTTCCATTATTATTTAGCCGATACCTATCGATGTTTCGACTAAAAAAAAGAGTTGGCAACTCTCCACCGGTCGAGAAATCCAGTTGGCATTTCCCAATTGTACAGCACTATTCACCACTTTGGCGGTCCCTTTTGAAAGTTTAAATTAAAACAGCAGTTGGTTTGGTTACTATTATAATTTCCGTTTACTTAACACACGGTTACACTTTTTAGGTGTTTCTTAGCCTATTAGATTACTGCCTAATACAAATGAATTAAATCGCATTCATCATCCTCTCACGCGCTCGCTTCATATAAATAACTAAAACTAGAAAACACAAACTTTCCTCACTTTCAAGAAGTAACTAAATTATATGCAATTATAGGGTGTGGGTGTGGCTATAGCGGATTGATAAAACTTAGAACAGTTTTGATAAGATCTTTGCTGTGTATATGGCGGGGCTTCTCATATTTTTGGGAACAGGATGGGGGGTTCGTTTGGTGTGGCAAGTCAGCAGAAATAGTTGCAGTGCGTTTTGGATTTTCATTTTTCTATGTGAAGTTTAATATAGTTTATGTGTGTGTATAGGTATAGTTAAGATTCGCTTACGACTAGATTTAAACTAAATTAACATATACGAGGTTTTCTTTTTTCTTAAACAATTTCTCCAGTTGGTTGTTTTGGATTACTTTAGTTGCATTTGTTTTGTGGTTCAGGGATGCAAAGAAGAAATACATTACAAAAGCCCTTAAAAATTATTGCAAGAAGTTTAAGCTGCAATTGGTATTTCTTTCCCTTGTGTGTTTGTTTTAGGTACGTTTGTATGTACAGTTTATGAACGTTTTTATTTACACGTTGCAAAGGTGGCTTGATTAGCATCACCTTGTTGTATAGGAAGTAGCAGACCTCTTGCCGTTTTTGATTTGATAAAATTCATATCTCTCAGCCAGGTAAAAAATTTTCCGTTTCAGTAGTTCAGTAGTTGTAAAATACTTAAAAACTTGGTCATTTTCTACATATTTTCGAAGAAAAATACAACTTTATCAATTCTAATTTTGATCATAAAGAAAGTGGCAATTGGCTGTACATTTTCTTTCTTTTCACAGCTGCTAGTTGGCGGCGGCTTTTCGCGGGGACCCTATCTCAGTCCCTCGTCAAGTTGCCGGTCCTGCCTTCCGGTGCCTCCTCGCAGACGGGCGTAGATGGCACCGAGATCCAGGGATTGGACCTTGGGATGGGTGACGCGGGTGCATAGCTGGAATCCAGATCCAATCGCAGTTTGGCCGGCGAATTCCGCTTGAACAGGGCCAACTGCCTTGTGGGCGACAGCAGATTTGGCTTGCTAATTGAGGAGGATGATACGGATGAGCTGGTGGTGGACTGGAGCAGGGAGCAGATGCCGCTGCTGCTGGTCGAGCTGGGTGAATCGAGTTCCGAGACCGTCGATGCGGCCGCTGAAGTGCTGGGCGCTTCGTCATCCGGAGTTATGGGGGGTGAGGTCAACCGGGAGGAGCAATTGCTGCCCGCCAGGCTGCCTGCGCCACTGTCCACGTCATCGTAGTCGTACACATCCTCGTCCATGGCCTCGCTATCCGACTTGGATTTTCCACGATCCCGCTGCTCGCGCTTCTCCTCGATCTCCTCCTCCTCCGGCTGCTCCACCAGTTGACTAGACGGGGTGGTACACGATCCCAGTGAAGATCCCGCGGGATTACTGGGACTATTCAGGTGCGGGGTGGCGGGCGCCAGGACTCCGCTCTTGCGCAAATTCTGCTCCAGCTCCAGCAGCTGGCCCATGAAGTTCAGATTCGGCGAGATGATCGGCCGGGCCACTTTCACCAGCTTGTAGGCCTCCAGCAGGGAGAGCGACTTGTACCGCATGACGTAGGCGATGGCGATGGTGGCGCTGCGCGAAATCCCCGCGTGGCAGTGCAACAGCACCCGGGAACCCGTTTTCCGTGCATCTTCTGCAAAACACCAAAGAAGAAACGGTTTTAGTTTTCAGTTTTCTATGAAAAAAATTTTGTTAAGATAGAAATGGGTTTTGAGTGATAATGGCCTATCTTATCATTAAACGCCCTTGACTGATGGAGTTATTTTTAAAGGTTTTCGTTATAGCCTAAATATTTTGATATACAAAATAATAAATAGAAAAATGATAGTTTTTAAGTTCGTAATTCTTAGAAATCATTTTTTAAAAAATGTGTATTAATTATTATAATTTTTATCTCATTCTTTCAGCTATTGATAGCTTTTATTTTGCATCTCTGGCGTCGGAGAAACTTTTCGAATTTTGAATGTTGAACGTGGAAGCTTCGATGATGTTGTCGTTGTGTTGATATCGCCCCGTCGATACTCTCAGTGTATTGGTGGGCCTTAGCTGTTCTCTCTCTCTCTCTCTATAAGTGCTCTCCCACTCTCTCGGTCGGCAACTCAACTGTGTGAATTTTGCTGATATGAGTCATCATCATTGCCAGAGGCAGCAACAACAAAGCGACGAGGCTTATTGACAGAACATTTTTATACCCTCACACGCGCACACACACACACACCCGCTCACTCACACACACAAACGTGGGCACATTAACTCATAATTTACGTTGTTATTTTTGGCCAAAGATAAGCGGCAGGAGGAAGAGGAAGAGAACCCAGAAGAATCCGCAGCATACGGCGCACTTTTTTCCAAGGCTCACCATAATGTACAGTGGAAACTGACTAAAGTAAAAGTCCTGTAATGCTATCAGAAAAAGTATGGGATGCTAATTGACATGAGACTTTAAAAGCTCATTTTAATTAAATTAAATTAAATTAAATTTCACTAAACTTTAATTACAGATTTGGATATTTCTATATTATTATATAGTATAGCAAAATTATGTGATTCTACCAAATAATTCCTAACTTTTTCCCGCTTGTTCCTAATGATTCAAACATGGGAAATTAAAATTTTATATTTTCTCAAGTTCTATTTTCAGTTATAGAAGTGCGACTGTAGCCACATAAAGCCACCACCGAAAAAATAAGCTTTATCTTATCGCACAGGAATTGGTTGTGGTGTGATTTTGGCTTGGTGGCGGGCACAAATTCCGAGAGGGGTTTTTATAGGGGAACGGGGGGGCAGCAGGCAGCCTTTCCTAATCGATGCTTACTCATAATGCAAACAAGGCAACACTTGTCTGATTTCCAAACAGTTGATAACCAGCCAGTCTCGGGCAGAAGCGAAGCCTTGTTAGTCACCAGGCGCCTACCGCCCACCCCCCAACCGCACCCCCTTTTCTCGCGGTGCACACCGCACACCCCATTATAAAATAAACCCCTTTGCCGTAGAGTCCAAGGAGGTGATATCAGCGATTAATCTGGAAGGCGCGTGTAACTCACTCGCAATTGCAGCCATATTGTCAGCCCTCAACATATAATAGCCCCTGAGGACCCACCCCTTTTTCCCCGTTTTACCCATCTGAAGAGGTGATAGCAGTGATAGCAGTGTGTTTGATTTATCAATGAATAGAGGGGGGTGCAAAGTAGACTGCGATAAGGAAACCTTCCCTACCGCACAACATCGATTTCACAAATTTCGACTACAATTATGAATTGCAGTTTACACACCAGTCAAGTGAAAACAAATCGAGTTAACCGCGTTATCGGGACGATGGTGATGATATAGCAACTATATAACCGGGCCCCGGGGAAAATCCATCATAAATAAATAATCAACTACCATTGAAAGATAACCATTGGGTGCTTTGGTACCTAAAGTAAGTACGTCAGAGTCCCAGAATGGGTTCTTGCCTCAGAAACTACACTAGCCAAAAGAAAGACAAAAAATTCTAGTAATTTGTCATGGTCTCAGGCTAAGAAAGGGGGTTCACAGAACTAACTTTGGCTTGAAATGCACTGAAGTTTATAGTTTGTATAGTAAGATCATACCAAGATATGATATATTTGTATTTGATCATACGGTTTCTTAAGTTAAATATAAAATCCCTAATTATTTTTCTCCAAGTGCACAACAGGGGAATCAAAATCGGCAAATAAAGAGATGACCAATCTATAGGCTGGCCAAAAATAGACCCACCGATCGGGGGGTGACCAAAAGATAAAGAAAGATGGTCATTAAGCGTACAATGGCAGACAATTGGTCACCGTCCCCGTTCCGTTCCGTTCGCACGGCGCTCATAAATCCTCTTAGTTAATGACCCCGTCGCTCAGACAGTTAAAATCGCGCATAAAACGCGCCGTAAACGCGCCTGTCTCGCACACACCACACACCATATGACTCATGTGGGCTAGAAGAGACCAAGAAACAATAATGAGGAGCTGCGCAAAAACTAGCCACAAGTAGCTGTGAATTATGAATGAATTTCGCAAAACTCTAGTTTTTGAGGCACTATGGAGTTGAGTTGTTCTTGCTAATTGGGCTCTAGTTAAATATAAACACTGAGATTCAAAATTGGTAAGAAACCAGTTGGAAATACATTTCCAAAATATTAAGGGAACCAACGAAATGTTAGTTCTAATCTAAACTCTTTTACTTTTTTAAGAATTAAAACCATAAAACGTTAAATACTTTTCATATCCGGTTTAAAGCAGTTCTCAAAAGATTATTAAAAAAAACATTATTACCAAGCTAATCTTCTGTTATTTTTAGAGTCTTATTACAGTTTTGATGAAACCGTTAATCATGGGGGTACCAACAATTATTTGTTTGAGTTTTGCATATTACTGGGTTTATTTTGTTCACAGAAAACGGAACTCGAAGCGGAGGCTTTGCTCAGTTATTGGGAAGCCGGGCTTCGGTAATTGTTTATTGTTTATTGTACATGACAAATATGCGGCCATATATGCTGTGGGGAATTACTAATCGCCAATAGTGCCTTACATACGTATGACTAAACGAACCGACTTAGTTCACACCGGAGCGCATATTCCGGCGATGACTGTGGATGACTACTGATAGATCCCGGGGAGTCGTGCCTCTAATGGGACGGGGACAGTACACGTTGCCACCATTCCAAAGGGCTGAGAGTCGTGACTCCATTTAGGGGGCGATGCGTAATGCCAACTTTGGGTAGTCACCGAATTCTTACACCGCTGAATGTATGATTAAGTGCAACAGTAGCGATGTTTCTTTTATTTTTTATTGTCGGGCCCCCGGGTGCGTCATCTGGTGATTTGGGCTCACAAGTGGGCCAAGTGGCAGACGACTGTCTGACAGCTGGGATGCCTTTGCGATGGGATGGTATTGTATCGTATCGGATTGGATTGGTATGGTGCTATATGGGGTATCTCTGTCTCGCCAGACAATGATGACTGCCTGTCGCGTCGTTTTTTGGTTCTTGTTCTCAATGTCCGCGTGCCCAATGCATCATTTCACTTTTCTCGTGATGATTAAGTCCCGGATCTTGGACCCTAGGGTCAACCAAAAGTGTCCAGGGCGCGAAACTCTCGCAAACTCCCTCTGAGTCATGGCCAGAAACAGAAACGGCAACAGAATCAGAATCGAAAACAGAAACCGAAACAACCTTTGGGCACGGGGAACATGATATATGAATGAGTTGTTAAATTTTACAGCAATGTTCAGCAAATTAGTATAGGTACTTATCAAAGATAGTAGGGGATTTAAACTAAAGTGTTTGTTTCTTCTAATACTTGAACTTCCTGAGGAAAATAGCTTAAAACGTGGGATAAAATATCAAATTCCTTGATTTCCTAATTGGAACCACCTTTATCCAATTCTATTTTTATGCTGCTCGCTGTTTTAACCCAAGCACGTTGTCAAGCAACAAGTAGTTTTGTTTATATTCGAAATATTTAATTACTTTCGGCGACTGTTTATCATTAAGAATACCCGCTTACTCATGCGAGTTTCTGATTCAGCCAGAAAGAGACGGCTATGGGGCGACCGAAAGAGACGGCCATAGTGTGAGTGTGAGTATAAGTCTGAGTGCGGCAGGTGCCAGGACACTTAAATGGCGATAAGACGCCGCTGAATCATCCAAAACAAAGAGAGTGGGGATCTCAACTTGACCTTCAACTTGGCGAATCTCGACTTTGACGTGTCGAGTCATACGGCCATACTGCCATACGGAAACAACAGAAGCTCCCAAGACAGCCTGCACTTTGAAGTCGCCTTCAACTCAAACATCGGGTGAGTAGTGAGTAGTGAGTGAGGTAGATGGATCAGGGCTCCCCTCGAGTGATTCATAAAGAGCATGCGCAGCGGCAATAACAACAAACGAAATGTTTCATAAACAAATTGTGCGCAAATAAAACACTTGGGAAATGCAAAGTGCGCAGGCGCAAAAGTCTCAAAGGTATTGATGAATAAGTACACAATGGATTTTTTCTTGAATTATTCAAAATGAATTAAACAGTGTTCATGGTTAGAGTGTCAATTGATACTCATTGAAATAGGCCAATTCTGATTGGTTTGACCGGGAAAAGTTTAATTCCTAAAGAAAAAAGTTTCCTCATATAATAGCCAAAATATCGATCATATTTTTTACTGTGTATAGGACACGATGAAGTGTAGGCGTGGGTTCCCTGTAAAATGATTAAGTCCCATATAATTTCGCATTTCTCATACGTTCAGCTACAACAACAAAAAGAATCCGAAGTCGCATCGAAAATTTCAAATACGAAATTCCTGTGCGAAGATTTTCAGTTTATTTTGCTTGGTTGGTTTTTGCATTTTATAAATAGCCGGCTGACGAATATTGAAATTATGTGCACGGGGGCCAACAAAAATGTCACCTCGGGATTTTTGTTGTTTGTGTTAATTCTTTTTTGTTTTTTGTCTGCCAACGGATTTTCGATTACTCATTAGCCAAAGGATTTTTCGAGTTATCTCCTCTCCCGTATGCTCTATATTTCTATACCAATTTTCGGTTTAAAAATTAGGTTTTACCGCCATGATTGATTTTAAATATTTTAGAAAAATGGTAACCCCTTCTCTTCTCTTCTTAACCACAACTGTTTGTATATATTTGTACATATGCATTCATAGTTTTATCTAATCAGCTGTCCGAGTGTATGAATGTATATAGAATGTGGCTATCACCAAATGTTTTCAAGGGGCCTCCGTTTCCAGTTTACTTAGCTGCTTCTGCGACTGTGTGTGCACAACCCGTATGCGTACCCCTAAATGTCCCCGTAAACGTAAACCGTAACCGTATATATGCTCCGTTGTAGATTAAGTTAGTTTGCCAAAGAAGGCCTCCTCCGCTGCTGGCAGATAAAAGTTGATGGCTTGATAACTTGATAACTTGGCGCACAAATAATATGCGGGTACAGTCAGTACAGACATCGTGGCGATAACTTGACAAATTGATTAGACCTCGCAGCAGATACTCGTAAAGAAGGATGTGGAAAGAGCGAGAAAGCTGAAAATTTAGAACGAAAAACATACTATATTTCTAGTGCTAAAACCTTGGCGGTTCCAAATTTTAAACATTGGCGTTTATTTTCCTTAGTAGCTTGAATTCTTGGCCTTATTTAGATGGAAATAGTATTTGTTTATGATGGCCTTGTTAAAATATATCAATGTCTACCTATTTGTTTTGCTTTGAAAATCTTCAAAAGTCTCAGGCACCTTGAAGAGATGGTTTGATTCTATCATGTTCTTAAGATATTTAATAATTTATTTTAACTTTTTACCTAAATGTTATATATAATTGTGGGAACTAAACATTTCCTATTAGGTGAAATTTATTAAATTCTTTAGTACTCAAAAAAAAAAATTTTTTTTGTCAATAGACCAAATAGTACTCTTCAATTCCCTCACAATTGAGGCTTTGATTGCTTTCTAGGCCAAGTGGCCTGGCTTAGTTTATCATTCATGTTAATGACACAGCATAATGACATTAGCATTATCCGATAGCTACAACTACAAAAACAACAACTGGGGCCTCGAACTCTGCTGTCGCCTAATGAGCCTCTGCCGCTGCCTCTGCCTCTGCCGGAGCTCTGCCGGCGTTGAGCTCATTTCAAGCTTTGCTTCAAAATAGCGGTGCTTCCTCTTTTCCTACATCCCCTCCCCCTCACACAAAGTGCTGTTATAATGAATGGAAAACGAAAAGCAACGCAACAATGAGAAATCATAAGTTGTATGGAATAAGAAGAAAGAGAGAGAGAGAGAGGGGGGGAGGTGGTAAGCATATATTCAGGCGAAATAAAACAATAATAATAGGCATAAGGTGACGACGGCAAACCAAAAACGAATGCGCAAAAGGCAGGGGCAAACACACACAAACCCAAACAGAGAAGCGAAATCATGACTCATGCACTCAGTACAAAATACATATACTTTTCCCTTCTTCTTCTTCTTCGCCGCCACCTCCTTCTGCTTCTTCTTTCCCGTCTCCCCACCCACCGTTACTTCGTGCCTGAGTACTAATGTGTTTTTGCGCGGGTGTGAGTGAGCGAGGGAGAAAGGTAGAGCATTTATAAAAATAATACTTGAGCATGGATAAAAAAACGAGGTGAAGAGAAATAAATTCGTGGGAAAACTCAAATAATTATTAAAAAATTATTTAAAAAATACTTTTAATTTTTATTTATAGCACTTTTTGAATTAGTAAAAATTTTCCATATCATAACATAACATCATTATAATAAATATAGCAAACCACTTTTATTTTCTGTGTAATGGCAAAAAGAAAACCGAATCGAGGATTTTCATCTGGCAGATGCAAATAAAATGATGAGAGCAAGGAAAGAGAACTACTGCTACTGAGCAGCTGTTGCTGCCCCCGCACCTGACATCCGCAACTACAACAATAAACAACAGTCGAGGCCATACGCACAAGGATAACCCAATAAAAGAAAAAAGAAAAAAGAAAAGCGAACCGATGACTCATAAACAGGAACCGAAATGTTTACAAAAATAGAACATATGCCAAAACGAAACAGCGCCAGAGAGAAAGAGAGGGGTGAAAAGTGCCGTTGGCGGCGCAATAAATAGCAACAATAAGAAGCCAACAGAAAAATCGATGCGGCTGTACCGTTCACCCATCCATCCTATCCATCCAACCACCCACCCACCACCCACTCTCTCGCCGTCTCGCTCTCTGTGTTCCACATTGCATTGTGAACGAGCAACAAAACGAAATGACGATGAGTCATGCCAGCGCACAGTGGTGGCCAAAAATACATTAACAGCCAGGCAGCGCAGGAAGCGAGTCGAGGACAACCCTTATCAGAAAGGACGTTTGCGGTTGGTTGGTTAGCTTAGCTAGCCTCGTTGTTGTTGCTGCAATCTGCATAAAATTTCCATTACCCGGGAAAACTTGTGTGCACCGTCAAAAACCAAATATCTGTAGTTCGCAGGTATATTATCAAAAAAGTTCTCAGTTTACTTTGTGATAAACTTTTATCTCAACAGATCGACCTTCAGAAGGTTCAAAGTAACTGGTACCTAAAAGTTTATTTATCATTAGGTTTATAATCTGTTTTTTACGTAAAATAATCATGGTATCTTATCTTACTGAATTAAAATTCTGAAATTTAAAGTTAAAGGATCTAAAAAAAAACTTTTTTTGTAAATCCTTTAACTTTAAATTTTCTTTTTTCAGTGTGGCCAAAGTCGCAACACAGTAACGGCACTTGGGGCAGCAAAAGCAACAACAATGCTGCGACGACGCTGCTGCCGCCATGCTGTCTGCCAACGCCAACACGCAACAGCAACAACAATGCGGCGACGGACGAAGGAGAAGCAGACAGCAGGAACGAAGGAGGCACGGCAAAGAGCGAATGGATAAGCGTAGGAGCAGCAACAACAACAAAAACTCCAGGAGGAGGAAGGAGCATTGCTCCTTATCCGTATCCACACACCCTAATTGTTTCTATGAGAGCGAGGGAGTAGGCTAGATACAAACGTAGACTCCACAGAGTGGAAAACTTTGATTTGAGCTTCGGTTGAAATCTCGTAATATTTACAACTTTATAATCATCTAATTACCCGTATTAACTTCGGGATTTAAAGTTTAAGCTATAATACAATTATTTTTGGGGCTACTATTAATTAAGAAGTAAATAATTTCTGGGATTTCCGCCTAAGATACATTTGTATTTTTGACAAATGTTTTTATATATCGATCTATTTTTTTAGTTTTAGCTTTTTTTAATAAATAAAGAATTCATTCAAAAAATTACTAATATTTATCTAAAATAGGGTCAAAGGCATTAAAATAAAGCATCTCCATATTTTGAAATCCAAATCCAATACAATCCATTTCTGTGTAGAACAATCATATCACTTTTTAGAGACAGCTAGTTTGGAGGTCGTCGATCGTCAGTCGCTCTTACCGCCCACTCGACTTTTCTCGCGCTTGTTTTAAATGAAATATTTGCACTACTTAAATCAAAGACGCTACAAAAAACATTAATAATACGGGGAAACAAAAACAGCAATAAGAACGACAAAGCTCGTGCACACGTGCCAAGACATTAGCTTGGAAAAATACAAAAAAAAAAATGCAAAACAAAAATACTTGATGAACAGCTTTGGACATAGAAAATGGAAAAATGCGATTGACGTCAGCATTATATTCCACGGCTAAAGCTCTCTCCGGCCACCTCGTTCCCCTTTTTTCCGTTTGGGGGTACATATTATTATTTTCATTTAAAATTAACAATTTGTATAGTGTGCATTGGTTGTGTGGGAAAAGCGCTGAGGGCAGCGCAAAATGCCAAGACCACACGAAACCCCAAAAAAAAAGGGGCAAACAAAAAGTCAATAACGAATTTTCCAACCAGACCAGAAGAAAGGGAAGTGGAAGCCAGACTAAAACCGTTATGCAAAATCCACAAATGAGCCCGCTGACCACTGAAAAGCCCGCCGCCAGGCATCCAATAACAAGTCACGTTTAGCAATTGCCAATCGCAAATCGCCAAAGATGATGACTAAGCGTAACTCGGATTCTCAGACTCAATTCGGGGAGCTCTAGCTTCCACGGAATTCCACAATATTTTTCCAAGATAAAGTTAGCAGGCCTAATCTCAAGCAAATATTTGGAAAATTTCACCATAATGAGACGGAAGTATTCGTCATCTTCTCGTTATTTTTCCATTGAAAAATCTTTTCTTATATTATTATTTTTATAATAAACATCAAATCGAATTGAATCGTATTAAAAAACAGAATTTTAAGTTAAGAACTTAAATAACTTTGATAGGATTTCAGATCAAAGGGTTATGATTGTAAAAAAAAAAGATTGTGCTTTCTTGATTCTTTTGTATCTTATTTTAGAAACTCACCGATAAAGTCGTAGGCCTCCTGGAAGTACTGCTTGATGTTCTGATGGGGCGTATCGCTGGCAGGTATTTGCATGTACTTGAGACCCTGCAGATGGCTCTCATTGGGACTTTGGCAGGTAACGTTCAGCACACAGTTAGCGCCCACGCTGCTGGGATCGTCGGCATCGCGGCCATTGCCCAGCAATAGATGCGGGAACACGGGCGAGGCGGGATGTGTTTCTATATCTGCAAGATACATGCGGATCGGATCATTAGTTTTTATGAGTAAATAATGGAAAAGTTCTATCTGCCCCAAACGCCGTACAAAAAGTGCCTCATTGTCGGGGGATCTCGCTCTGTCTATAGTCTATATCGCAATGGAAGTTTGCCAATTCGCGATGTCATGCAACAAAAGAGTCTGGCAAATGATCATTGTGATGGGGATGGGAATGGGGATGGGTATGAGTAGCAGTAGTAGTAGTAGTAGTATGGTGATGGCCTGGCCCTGTTTTCTGTATCTATTGTTGTATACAACGTCTAAATTTTGCTACAACAAATTGTTTATTTTTTTCTCCCCTCCTCCGAACGTTTTCGTTTCGATTGGATTCGTCTGCTGGGGCCTCTGTTGCTGTTGCATGAGTCATGCCACACACAGAGGCATAGAGTCTCAGTTCAGTTGGGTTCAGTTTTATTGGCAGTGGGCGAAGTCGAAGGTGGGGGAGCAGGAGGGGGAGGGGGAGGGACCGTGGCGGTCAGCGGGCCGAGGGGTGGCTTCAAGTTGCCTCACGGCCGTCCCCGAGTTCGTAGCACTCTCAATGAGCCGCGCAATTGTTTTTTCTTCCCTCTCTATGTGTATCTATAATTGTGCACCGTCTAACTACACTCCGAAAAAAGGTACCTTTATCTTGAAAAACTAAAAAAAACCACCCTAAATATCTACGAAATCAATACATACTTCCAGGTCCTACTATTTATAAGTATATTTATTATAAAAGTTAAGAAACAGTAACTAAAATAAATAACCCTATCATTTAATATTTTATTTAAAATAATTCTATAATTTCTTTTCTTTTCCAAGTGTAATGTTTAGATTGAAGTGCGGTCCCAGGGACCAGCATATGCCCTGCGGTTTTGGCCATAGACACCCCCCCCCATGAACTCCCCCGCCCCTGGCTCATCGATTATTTGTCATTGGGTTGCGTGTTAATTGATAGCACTCAGAGCCATGGCAACTCAACTTCGTGTATTTCGTTTATATTTATTTTTTTTGGGCTGACTGCACTTTGTGGGTCACACGGAAATCACTTGCATTAGTCATCGACAACACGTTGGAACTTTACTTTACACGTAAAGATGATTGTCATGGCGGCATTTACGCAAGCCCCTTCTGATAGCACTACATATATGTACTTTGTACACATAGTAGTATATTAAGAATGCAATTAACAGATTTCATAAATATTTCCACAGTGACTCAGTTGACGTATTGATAAAGAGGAATCGCTAGAGTCTAGAAAAAACATATATTGCAAAGGAGGGGGCTTGACAAATCCCCGTCCAGCAATCGATCGCTAATTAGTTCGTCAAGGGATTTTCCTATTTCACAAAAAAATAGGGAGTTTCCTTTGTTATGGCATTGAACTTATAAGTAATTATTCACTGTGTCCTCATGTGAATCATCACAGTCAATTTGCTTATTCATTTGTTTGTAAACATTACACATAATATTTTATTGATAGTTATCTTCGAATTTTTTTTTTTTGAAAATAGTTAGATCTATTTTTACATACCTCTAAGAAATGAGGTTTCTCTATTAAAAATTGAATACCCACTAATTAATTCATTGAGTGAAAATATAATCAAATTAATTTGTTTTTAAAACCTGATCCATAAATTTAGGATGAGATTGTAATTCAGATTAAAACAAATCTATTTTAAATACTCGCATCTCTAAATTGCTGATGCATTACTAATCCTATAATGGATGTGCGTAATATATAGAAAATACTGAAACCCGAGGAAACATCACGATGTGATCACACCTTTGTCAGGTGAAAAAGGTGGGATAGATGGACTGAGGGTTACCCCACTCAAAGCCGAGATTTAGTACGATTCTCAACGTGAGTGAGTAAGTGAGTAATATGCAAAAGTTTGACATTGAAAATTTCACTGTATTACTGTCGCTACCTTTGTTATTATTGTTTTGCATGTGTTTCGCAGCTTTTCGCATATTTTTCATACATATGTATGTACTACGTACGTACGCTCGATTTCGTAATGTGCAAAAATACGAGTTAAAGGTGCGAGCGAGAGGGGCGATCGAGCGAGCGATTTATCTCACAGCACGTGCCAAAGCAAAAACAAAACTGTTTGTTTTTAATGTTAAAGCAGAGCTCACAAGTGTGGGAAAGAGAAGGGGCAGAAATGACGGAAAGATTGTATGACAATCTGAGGCAATTTATCGTCATGTAGTACTATCAAAACGGGGTATACGAAGTGGGGAGCAGTTAACTTAGGCCGAGTAGGAAATGAAATGCAATGATAAGCACAAACAGCGCTAAACATGCAAATATGCAACAACAGAACAATCGAGAGATTGCTCGATCGGGTGAAGATATGAAGGCCCCATGAGTTCCGCTCTTGATCGGAATTTCCAATAACTTGGTTACCACTTGAGTAATTGTGTCCAATTTTGGTATGTAATCTCCCATGAATCATTACAGTACATCAGAAATTTAGATTTCCGTTTCTAGCATAAAAATTTGAAGAAATCAAATGTAGTTTTAAGCATAGTTGAGCGGTTACACATAATACTTCCATTGAAAAACAAAATTCTGAAAATTTACCTCTTACAAATGTTTTTATGACTTATTGAATTACACATCTAGGATTTTCTTTGTAATTTAAATTACGCACTCTATTTTTTTTTAAGTTATGCTACTGGCAAATTGTCTTAAAGGCCCAAGAATTTTCTTAGCGTTTTCAATATGCCAAAACCTTTCTAACTGACTCACAGACCGTTTGTGAAACCCGTCTTCGGGTCGCATACCTTTCGGTGGGTTCCCCATTTTGCAGCTTTCACTCACCGTAGACCGCCGGACTGGAGCAGCTGCGGGTTAGCACCGGCGTCCGTCCGCCGCCGTTCATTGCCGTGGTAGATGACGTCGTCGATGTCACTTCGTCACATGCCAGATTCTCCCTGGACCGCTTGTTGGGATAGTCCTTCTGATTGGCTGCAAGGAAAAGCACAAAAGCAGAAAATACGCATTAATACGGTGATTTAAATACTGATTATAATTGGCGGTTAGCGATTTGCTTAATTTTATAACCAATGATGTCAGCACGGTCTGTGTATGGACCACAGTGCGAAAAACTTGTCGCGCCAGGTCCCCCCGTTCAAATAAACCGCAAAAATATTTCGTTTCGATCTGCCGCCTGCCAAAACTGACGTAAGACTTTTATTTCGGCACTAGAGTTTTTGTTGTTTTCGCCTGATTACGAGCGAATGCAAAGCCAAAGTTTTCCACATTCGCTCGCAGCTCACAAGTCGCTTATCACAGTGAGCAGGCATAATTAGAAAACGCTCTGTAAGCTCGCCCGATACCAATTTGATAGTATTTTTTAGTAATTTTAATTATATATACAATTTTAATTTTGCATACAATTTGAACGGGGCGAAGATGTCGATAGCAAGCTCATTTAATGGGATGATAATGTATTCTGAGGTCATAAGAACTGAGATTTTGAGGGTTTTGAAATAAACTCATACGTATTTTTAGTAATGCGCCATTATTGTATGCTAAAGGAATCGAGAAGTAATGAATACTTCCTCTCAATCAGTCTTGAAGAATTAATAATACTGTAATTAAGACTTTAGGTAAGATTATTACTTTGATTTTAGGCGAGAGAACCCTTAATTGCAAATCACCATTTTGAGCCTCTATCAACTAAGAAATGATTAGATAAGGAATCCTACAGTTTGTATTATGTTTTCAAAGTGGTATTAGGAGGTTGGACTGGACTGACGTGACTTTATCAGCTGTACGCAGAAGCATAGTGTCTTTTTATGCTGGAAGGCAAAACAACTTCTAGTAAACTACTGGGGTACGAAATTGCTGTTATCAGCCAAGCGACCTCAAAAGCCAAAAAAACAACGCACAGGAAAAAACGCAACAGCTACAAAAAATTACAACCAACTTTTCATCGCGGCAGGAAACGTTGGTTCAGTTTTTTTTTCGCGATGTTGTTGTTTGCGGCTAGTAAAACAAGAAAAATCGCATGCCAATAGTGCATTGCAAACACCCAGGGGCGTCTGGGGTCTGGTCTGTGTGGGTTTCCAGGGGGGCACACGGTGGGAAAAAGAAGTGGAGTGTGAGAGAGTAGAAAATAGGGAAGTGCTAATTAGTATACAGTGGCTTGTTTATTTATAAAAACAAGTTATCAACCAGGTTTCTGTTTTCTATTATGTACCTAATCGATTTTAAAATTTTTGGCTATTTTGTAACGTATTTTCTGTGTTATTTATTTGTCAATAAACTTTTAAAACCTTTAAAAGTGTACTTAATTGGTTTCACTTTGTGGTTTTATTTTAATTACATTTATTATCAGATCTAGTCTATTTATATATTTTTAGAATGAGATTAAATACAATAGCTTGAAACTCACAATTTTTTTATTTAAAACTTGAAAAGTTAAGCTTACGCTGCACTGAAACTGCAGTCCCCTTTTTGCTCCGCCCCTGGACCCCCTGCAACTATCTCTTCCTGCTCTTCCTCTCTCTCCCGCTCCCAACTTCAGTTTAAAGTTGTTGCTGCGGCTGTTGCTTTTTCTCCTTCTGTTCCCCCTTTCCCCTCCTCGCCCCCTTATTCTTCGCCCTACAGTTGTTGTAGCTGGTAATGTGTGTTGCTGTTGTTGTTGTGCCGATGAATTCGTACTCGAAAGGTCGTTTCAAAGCGGGTTTTTCAGCGTTGCCAGGCCGCTTGAGAAACCTGCTTTGCTTTACATTTTTTCTGGTGTTTTTTATTTGTACTCGTATTTTGTTGGACTCTTTTTTTATTTAACCAGCCAACAGAAACGAATCGAAACGCTTCTTTTGCTTTTATTTTTGAAAGACACGCGAATTGTGAGTCACGTATGGAGCGAAAAAAAGTAACTGACTCTGTGTCTCTGATCTCTCTCGGGTTCGTTTCTTTTTTATTTATTTTTTTGCCTTTGCTGTTGTAGAAATGAAATGGAGACGCTTACGTGTGTTCGCCCCCTCTCTTTCGCGCCCCTGCCAAAGTAAACAGCATGCCAAGCGGTAAAAATCAAGAGAGGGAGAGCGAGCGAGCGATTAATTTGCTCTTCCCGTCTCTCTCACTTGATTGGTTTAAGTGTAATCTTAAATTGTATGATTTTTCTTATTGCCTATTTTTTGTTGTTGTTGCTCAGTACTCACCACCAATGCGATTGTTGTTGTTGGTATTTTGGATTGGCATAAATAACAGAAGACACGGCGCTTCTCGCTTTATCCGCATTTTCATTTCACTTATATGACTCACGCTGTTGCCGTCTCCGTCGCACTCACAGCGGCCGTTGTTGCTGTTGTTGTTGCGTGCTGTTGACGTTGCCGTTGTAGCGTTGTTGTTGTGGCCGCTGCTCTCGTTGTTGTTGTTGTTGTAGCTCTGCGTTTCTCGATTCACACACATGCAGGCGCTCACACTAACACACACACATGGGGCCTTTGGTTGTTTTAAAATTGATATATTTCTGAGCGGTTGTTGTTGTTGCCCGTACAATCTATATTATTTAAGTATGATTTTCGGCAGGAGGGCTTTATTAGATAATCCCCGAGCCACTTGTTGAGCCACTTGCCGTTATAATGTGTGTTGCAACCGAAAATCGGGGGCCCAGAAATCGAGTTTTATTTCCACTTGTAGCGCGCACACTTTTGTTTAATTCATTAATCAGAAAACGCGCGGGTTGTAGTTTTTCTTGTTTTTTTTTCTTCTTCTAAAGTAGTTTAACTATTTATTGTCCAATTAATAGTATCCTCTGGTTTTGCTGCCTCTTCACAAGTCACGTTTTTGGGTGAAAAGTATATCCAATTGTTAATGTTTTTTGCAGGAAAATATATCGCACTATTTTCCAGAGATATATTTCCTAGGGTTTTCGCGCGGGGGTTAGGTTTTGTGTTTTCGAACTGGTTGCACAAAGGTGTAGAGACAACCGTTCGAAGCGAAATTCAAAAGACGAATGAGTGAACGAGTGAATGAGCGCAACACAGAATGAACGGGCGCAAAACAAATTTGATAACCGAATTTGATAAAGAAGCGAATAGTGTGACCGTTTGGGGGTTTTCTGGAAACGGCACAAAAGAGGTCTTTCCGCAAATAGGAATTTATCAACACTGAACATTGCGCGGCCTATTTTGAAATTTTTAATATAAACGAAGCGGAAAAACTATAAACGGATTTTCAAGATTCTTGCACATGAATGTGAATTGACAAATATTTATGAAACAATAGATTTGAGTTCTTTTATGTAAACAATGAAAACTTTATTTGATTCTAACGGGTTGGATTCTAGCACGGGCAAAATAAATATTTTTCTGGCCAAATTGTGAAGTAACCAACTTCTTTTTAGTGTTCTATACAAGTCCCATATTCTAGGACCCCCATCCCTTGACCCAAATAAGAGTCAAGATCTGGATCCAAACTTGACATTTGTTTTTACACAGAATACAAATAGTTTCTCTTTTCAGCCGCATTGGCGCTTTACCCTAAGAAAGCGGGTCACATTATTTATCGATAGTACGCGCGGTTCAAATCGAGGAATTCAAAAACATGTAACTACCTATTAGCCTAGGCGCAAACCTTTTATTTAAAAATCTCACATACATATAATCTATTAAATTCTTAAAAAATTATAAGGTCAACAAATTGTTATGTAGCTATGATTAGTCGTCAAAGTCGTGAGGAACAGGTGGCTTCCATCCGCCGAAGGCTCGCTCCAACTCCACGGCCACTCGGAGGCACAATCGGTCCTGATTTGGCGCTCCAATCACAGATAGTCCAACAGGAAGACCACGATCGTTCAGACCCATCGGAACATGGGTGACGGGCAGACCAAGTACGTTAAACATCAGGGTGAAATCGACGCCCCACAGTGAAAAGACTGACCACTTGTGCCGCGGAGCATGTAAGTTCAAGGTCGGGAAAAGCAGCACTCCATTATCTCCAAGTAAATTCTAGACAGGGAGAATATGTTTTCATTTTACCATCAAAGGTGTAAAATAAGGCACCTAGTCAATGTGTTTTTTAAGCAAAATGGTGTTAGCAAGGAATAAGTTTCAAAAAAATAATATATGAAGTTGTAATAAATAATATAATTAGCTAAAAAGTTCAATGTAAATATAATTTTAGAAGAGAAAGATATCATAAAAATGAGTATTAGTGTAACAACAGTGATTATTACAGGTTGAAAGTGTCAGTTTGTCGTAATAAACAAACAAGTATGAGATTAGTCGAAGCTTGCGTGCTAGGTAATTTATTACTCACCGCAAACTCCCCGATCAGACCGCGCGTTTCCTCCATGTAAAGATTCATCTTTGATTGCGGCATAAAGGCGCCAGTGCGACGCATAAGTTCAAAGATCAGCGAGTTGGTCGTATATTTCGAGTGACCTCCTAGACTCTTGACCATCTCCCAGAGAGTCTGAAGCACTTTATTCGATCCCGCTGCATCGTCATCCTCCAGCAGATAGTCCATTAAATCTTGTCCTGCGATTCCGGATAAAGCCATCTCCATTGAGTTCTCGAGGTTGGGTAATTTGGCCTTAGTAACCTCTAAGCCGAGCGATTTTAAATGGGTTGACGCTCTGCAAATTGCTTCCTTTATGTCCTTATCCACAGACGTATGCATCCAGCCATTGATTCCTTCGAAACCCAGCGCATACTGCACTTTGATCTGATTCAGTTGGACGGGTTCGTTTAATCGCAATTTGGCTGAATTCTCTTTGCCCGCCATCACTTGCAGTAAATCGGAAAGATCCCCAGCGAATCGAGTCATGGGTCCCTCTACCAAATAGTGTTCTATACTTGGATCTTTTGAATTGGGAAAGTGTCCCTTTACGGACACTACGCCTCCGCTTGGTTTGTGCCCGAAGATGCCGCAATACAAGCTGGGAATGCGAATGGAACCGCCAATATCTGAGCCAATGCCGAATAGAGAAGCGCCAGCTCCAATTAAAGAACCCTGAAATAATATTAAATAACAAAATATTTAAAGGTATTTTTAATGTAAACCGACTAGACCTACCTCTCCTCCAGAACTTCCGCCCGGAGTCCTCTCGAAATCATAGGGATTCAGACACCGTCCATTTAGCAAAGTATCCGTCTCCATGCTGAAGCAATATTCGGGAGTGGCCGAAACCAGGAGAGGAATAGCTCCAGCGTCTTTCAATCGCTTCACTGCCTCCCCATCAGCTTGGGCTTTAATATTCTTCCTGCACAGACTGCCCACAGCAAAGGTCATGCCCTCCAGGGCACACGACTCCTTTATGGTCACCGGAAGCCCCAGTAATGGGCGCTCTTCGAATAGCTTCTCCACATCCGCTGCAGTTTGGCAACTGGCTATGAGGTCATCCGTTTCGGTGGCTTCCTCCAGAGCAGCCGTAAATCGAGATTCCACCAGCGCATTTAAATGTTTATTAACTGCCTCGATACGTTCGATATAAGTGCGCACCAATTCCACCGAAGTCAACTGAAAATAGAACATAATAAAATTAAATTACAAATCATTATTACCAAACCATTTTTTAAGATTACAAGTCATTATTATTAAACACTTTTCAAAGATATATTGTCTTATTTTTTAGATGGGGGTGGATTATCGCATTGAACTTTGAACTTTACTGATAATAAAAAAAGGTCGTTTAAACAAAAATTTAACATTTAAGTATAGAAAATTAATTGGTAAATGGTTTCATTTATGGGCCCTTAAAAATTCGGCATATAAAAAAGCATTATAGTTAAAATGAGGCCGAATTACTCAGATACTGATTCATTTCTATTTTGTAAATATTTTTATTAACATATTTCAAAGTAGTTGGGACGAAATACGAAGCTCAAATCAGTGAAGTTGGAAAAGTGTCATTGAAAATTAAAAAATCAAAAGCTCGTATGACTTAGAATATAAATTGATCAGTTTTTGTATCCATACTTATTTGGAAAAAAGTGTGATATACTATAAATAGATAGTTCTTGATATTGAAGTTGGACTTTGGATGTTCTCCCGAAATAATCAAAAATATTACTTCTGTAAGGTGCAGTGGATGAATCATACATACATATATCAACATATACATAATTTTACCTGGCGGGTTCGAAGGCGAGTGCGCAGTTCCTGAACGCTGAGGGTGAGCAGGCGGTTCCTTACTGGTGGAATTAGAGTCCTTTTGGATTTTTGAGGATAAACAAATTTGTCCAGAAGCGGGGAGATGATCAAGGCGATCGCCTTTACTAAGATCACGATTAGTCTTAGGAATATTTCCATTGCGCACTAGAACCGAATGAGCGGGCGTCCAAGGAGAGAATGAAAAAAGTGAGAAAGAACCAAGTGATTAAGCCAGCCGGTTTGTCGAATTAGAGAGCAGAGAGGAGAGCCAAATCTACCTGTGTATATAGAGAAGGTGCTGATAAGGTGGAAGGGACTGGAGATTGGGAGAGGTATTATAAAACGTAAGCAATACGGGAATGAGAGTATGTATTTCGTATTGTATTTCGATTAAAAGCGCTCACAGGCACATATAATAACCGATTCAAAATTGGCGGCATTATTTTTAACAATTAAATTTTAAAAGATTATTAACCCTAATAAACTGAAGTGTATCAATCTAAATTTTAATGCATCAACTTAGAGAAAGTTTTCCAAATAATGGGAATTTTTCTAAGCTATAATAATCAACTTGTTCTATTTTTAGCAAACTATATAAAATACCTAAAATGAGAAAACAGCTTTTTTACTTAATAAACTCTTAAAATGCGTTCCGCAAAACAGGTTTTACCTCCAGGTCTTATTTTTATTACAATGCGATATTTTCGGGTGACAGATCGTGAATTTTAAGGAGTTCCGAGGGCATCATCGAAATCAGCTTCGTCTGATGACAATTCCAAATCCTCCACACGGTTTACTTCCGGATCCGGAGCAACATCTTCCTGTTGCTGATTGGACGCTGCATCCTCAACCATTCGTACCGATGCTAAAAGCTCACCAAAATGTGAAGCTGCTGCCGAGATCCTAGCGCTCTGAAAACCATCTCCACCGCTTCTTTCAAAGCTAATATATCCACTACGGACATGGGTGCTCCAAATACCATAGGTTCTTCCACGACCGCGCACGAAGATAGATCCTCGGCCACGAATGGTAATACTTCCACGACCATGTGATTCTGATTGACTTATGTGAAAGACTCCATCGTCAGTCTGAAGGTAACAGAACATTAAAAGACTGTCTGAAATATTGTAATATTGTTACATGCATACTTACACGAATCTGCACATAGTTTTCGGCAGATAGGTTTACCTCCTGCTAAGGAAATGCAATTGTCGAATCGCTGCCCAAAAGTTAAATTCTCTTAGTACTTACATTACCAGCACCATAAGCTCTGTATCCTATACCATTCCCCATTTTAATAAACACCTGAATTCCAAGTAAGGAGTCTTTCGGCGCTTTAAATTATCAGAATTTTTGACAAGTTGACTTTTTAGAGTGGCCAGTTTGTTCAAACATCGTATGTAGGTCAATATACTATCAGATAGTTTTAATCTGCATTTTTTCAGAAGCTGTTTTCTATTTCGGGTTTTAGGTCCAGTATTCAAACTTGAAAGAAGCCGTTCCAAAGGGATTTCCGTTTTGGATGCCCTTTATGTTCGGTTAAATAATGGGTTTAAAAAGAATATAGGGGGGTTCCCTAAACTGTTGAATTGCTGAATTGTTGAAAATTCAACAAAAAATTTCAGCAATTAAGGGAACGGCCCAAAATGGTTCCTGTTGAATTTTCAAACAGCTGTTATTTGTTGAAAAGTTTCACGGAACTTAAAGCATGTAAAATTTGATTTATTGTTGCTAGTTACTGTCTAAAAGTGTTACCAAGGTAAAAAGAACCACAAATATGCTTTCTAAGTTGATTTTAAAATAAATAATGCGTACTGGTGATACTAAAATGTTACAGAGTTGCCACGACTTTTAAAAAAAGGTGACAACTCTGGCTTTTCAGCAATTCAACAAAATTTTCATCAGCCCCGAGGCTGTTGAATTGCTGAAATTTCTGAAACTTGACTTTGTATGGAACAGCTGATTAACAGCTGACCAAAATTCATAAATTCAGCAATTCAACAGCTTAGGGAATCCCCCTTATATTGAAGGATCTTAAAATACCAGAATCTTGCTAGTATTTACCTATCGGCTTTTTAATTCATTGAAAAGTAGAGGTGCTATGTACGTCCTGTTCGCACTTATGTAAAATCGTATATAGCCATTTTTCGCCTATATAATTTAAAGTAAGTGCGAGCAAGACAAACATATTTTTTTGGCTTGGGTAGAACATGTTTATTAAGGTAAAATGGCAAAGTTCTTAAACATATTGGTGGGCTACATAAAGTTTCGAGTTTCCGTATATAAGCTCCAATGCGGCAAGGCTCTATGCATCCGTCTGATGTTCTTCCTTTCTTTGTTTATATCTCCTCACTCGCTGTCGCTGCTCTCGCTGCCGTCCTCCTTCTTGATATTAAAGGTCTGGCGGATCTTTTTGGCCGTCTTGCCCTTGATCATATTGGCCACCGACTTGCAGGTGAGCTCCAGCAGTCCCTTGATATCCAGATAGTTGGCCGCCAGGATGAGCTCAAACAGGGTGCTCTGATCGACCTTCAGGAATTCTAGATCCCAGGCGATGATGTCGTCGCTGCAATTATACTTGCTGTCGTCATTCTCGATTGGTTGGGGATCGTCCTTGTGGTATTGAGCCCAGGTGAGTACTTTACGAAGAATCTCCGAGTTCACATTGGGCAGCGGTACAATGGCATTCTCGTCGTTCTCCATGCCGCAATCCTCCAGCATGATCTTAATTGTTCCCGAGCACTTGGCGATCTGGATGTCCGTTTCGAAGATCTCCTCGTCCGAAGATTGCAACTTGATGATGGGCATTTTAAAGTTGTTTCTTTCCTTTTTTCCTTGGAATCGTTGGCCAGTGCTTTGAACAAATTGTGAGCAAAATGTCAGAAATCGATAGGTTAAGTTTAGAAAGATTCTGGTATTTTAATATACCACAGGTATCGATAGGTCAATAGGTCAATTAATTCAAAATGGGGCCAAGTATATAAACTAATTAAAAATAATTGGTAAAGTGTTGTAACGTGGTGCAGAAACAAAATAAAAATGTTTAAAAACCAGCTTTATCAATAATATTTAACATTTTAAAAAATGTTGGTTTATATCGATTTTACGGTGAATGCAATGTGAAGAAGAAGAATGTATGGTTGCTCTGGAAAACTATCGCTATGTATCGCCTAAATATCGCATTAAAAAGTTCAAAAAATTTGAATGGAGGAAAAACTGGAAAAAATTTTAAAACGCAACACCTTCGGTTTTTAATTTAATTTTTAATATCTGTTTCTATAAATGAACAATGTATTTTAATATGAGTCACCCTTAACAACCTTTAATAATTTTATAAAAATAATTTGATCATCAGACCTCAGTTTTACAAAACCCGAAAAATGTAAAAATTTTCAACAACTTTTTTCGTAGTCATCTTTATTGTAATCCAAATAAAAAAGAGTACACTATAAATAAAATTTGATGGCCATGTACTAAACAAACTTCACTTTAATCTTTACAACTCTACTAAAACTTTAAACGAAATTTAACCTTGAACCTTAACTGGATAGACGAGCAGTGATCTTCACTTGGTGTCCGTGGCATGCGGAACCGGTGGCACCCAGCCGTGAAAAACGGCCTCCAGTTCGGCGGCGACCTTCAAGCAGAGTTTATCCTGGTACTGGGCGGCCACCACCTGCAAGCCAATCGGCATCCCCCGTTGGCTAATTCCCATGGGCACATGGGTGGCGGGCAGGCCAAGAACGTTGAAGAGCAGCATATTGTCGATCCCCGTCACATTCAACAGCGAGGTGTGGAAACTGAGGGCGCTCGTGTGGAAGGTGGGCAGGATGAGGACTCCTCGGGTGCCAAGTAGTTGCTGTAAGTTATTTTCAATGGTTTAGTTTAGTATAGTTTATAAGCTTTCAGTTACTCACATTCAAATGGCTTTTGATTTTCTTCACATCTTCCCGGTATTCCTCCATATTTCCAGAGGCCATTAGGCCATTGAAACGCTTCATCACCTCCAAAACCATCGCCTCCTTGGTGAAGATCGAGTGACCTATAATGCTATTGAAGAGCTCCACCATCAACAGACGCATCGAGGGATCCCGATCAGCCCGCTGTGTTACGATACTGGGCAGACCCTTCAGGTCCACCAGGGAAACCAGGGCAATCTCCAGAGAGTTGCTTAGGAATTTTAGATCCAACTGATGGGAAAAATTATATTACAAATATTTATAGTTTATTAAAACGTTTATTTTACCTTCTTGGTCTGAACGCCACCGTTTTCCAAGCACTTGACGGCCTTGGTGATGGCCAGTTTAATATCAAAGTCCACCACGGGATGGGTAAGGGAGTTAAAACCCGAGTACCCATAGGCATAGTATACCTGAGAACATATTTATAAGCTTAAAGATCTATAAATATTAAGGCGCTCCCACCTTCATATCCTTCAAAGCCACCGGTTCTGCCATTTTCAGCTTGTGCTTGTTATCGCCCGCCATGATTTCCAATAGCAACGGCAAATCCCTGGCGAATCTTGTGATGGGTCCAATCTGCAGCATCTTGGGGAACTTCTTGTCGGTCAGCGAGTAGGGGAAGTGACCCTTGACCGAGGTAAGTCCGCCAGTGGGCTTGTGTCCAAAGACGCCGCAGAACAGGGCGGGCAGGCGAATGGAGCCGCTGATATCGGAACCCACTCCAAAAGTGGTCGCTCCGCAGCCGTTCAAAGATCCCTCGCCCCCCGAAGAGCCGGCGGAAGTGCGTTTCAGATCGTACGGGTTCAGGCAACGCCCCTGGATATTGTTGCTCGTCTCGAAGCTCATGCAAAACTCGGGATTGGCAGACACCAGAAGGGGAATGCCACCGGCAGCTCGAACTAGTTCCACCACATCGCCATCCTGGGCAGCTTTCATATTTTTGCGAGCCAAACTGCCAACGGCAAAGGATAGTCCTGTAAGGAAGTAATGGTAGTATTTTAATACAAATTCTTTAAAAATTTTCAGTTTTCTTTAAAAGGATTTTAAAATTATTTAAAGGAAAGGAAAGGAAATTTATGTCTTAGGAATATTTTTGGTAACAAAACAATGAATAAAGATAATATTTTATTAAAATCCTTATAATATTTTCTTTTTTCTGTAAATAGATTACTAAAGTGACTCATGAAAATCAAAAAGACGATAGCCTTTCATTATCGGGATGTTAAAACAAATTAGTGGGTGTAAGAAATTAATAACACTTCGATTAATAACAAGAAAATTAAGCTTAACAATACAATGAGTAAAGCAAATATTTTATTAAAATCCTTATATTATTTTCTTTTTTCTGTTAATGGATTACAAAAGTGACTCATTAAAATCAAAAAGACTTAGCCTTTCATCATCGGGATTTTAAAACAAATTAGTGGGTGTAAGATATTTATAATACTTCGATTGATAACAAGAAAATTAAGCTCACCCTTAAGACCGCACGATTCCTTGACTGTAAAGGGTATGCCCAGAATGGGATACTTGGTGTAGAGGGCCACCCGATCGAACTCGGAGCTCGCCTTTGCGATGAACTGGTCCGCCAGCCTGGCATCCTGCAGGGCAGCCTCGAAGCGATCCTCGACGACGGCGTTCAGCGAAGGATTAACCTCCTGGACTCGTGCTATATAGGCGCTAACCAACTCCACCGAGGTGATCTGGAATCAAACCCCAAATTGTGTATGTATGACTTGCAAATGTCTCCCTAGAATGACGTAATTGGACTTGGAGACTCACCTCGCCGCGTCGCAATTGGGTGACCAATTCTACGACAGACTTCTTGAGCAGGGGATTACGGATCCCGGGGTATTTGGGCTTCTGCCGGGGCAGTGCAAAATCCAATATCTTGTTCACCAGCATGCCAAAGGCATTCAGCACAAAGGCCAACAAACGTAGGATGATCTCCATTTCGAGCAGGCGGCGGGTCACCAAAAAGGTGGCGGTATTCAAATCGGCGGACTTCGATCGGAACTCAGCGGAAGTGGGTTAGCTATAGGCTATAGCTGGAATGGAAGTGGCAACTGGCACTGCACCTGGAACACCACCGAACACTTCGGCTGCGGATCGTGGACTACGCGTGGCGATCGACACTCACACGTATTTGCCTTGTTTTCAATTTGAATTTGAATTTAATTTCAAAGTTAGCTGGGTTCTTCAACACCGAACTTGGGTTGTTCTGGATTTTGAAAATCGCTGGAGAAATACTTTTCAAAACACCTTTTTCAAAAACACAAAAATAGGTCTTAAAATTCCTACAATTGACATACAAAAGAATACAGTCGTTATGGTTCTTAAAATAAATTCAAGAAGATTTTTATCAAACCCAAATATAACTCAATTCCCTTTGTCACGAAAAATGCCATTATTCATTCATGTATTTATTTAGTAATAATTTTAGTTATTGTTACACTTATCACTTACGTGCTAAAAGGAAACGTTCAACAAAGGCAAAAACTTGTTTAGCACATTACTCACTGGAAAACAATTCGAATCGCATCGAATCGGTTAACGAAACGGTTAACGAATAACAAACCGAGGACAGAGAGTATCAGAATGAGAGTGAACTCAGTTAGGCAACTTGGCAAAGGCGCTAAGGAGACGTCTATATATCCGATATCCGTATAAGTATAGTTGCAGGCTTGCGCAAAAATTGACATCTATGTAGCTATATGTATGTATCCTTGTATGCTCTATACTCATGAATATTCACACAAAACTCTTGAACCTGTCTGGCATATGTATGTTTATCATTCATAGACAATTACGTGGGTATGTTTTGCTGGGCTTTGTATTGTTAAAATCGTATATCTGCTGCAGGATTGACATCGAACGACGACGGCAACCGTTCGTCGAAACAGTTGAACACAGTTTTTATTTTTGCAATGCACTAATCTCTATTACCTACCAAAAGAACTGCCAAAGTAAAAAATGTCTAAAAATGTTCTAAAGCAAAATTAGGTACTTTTTGATAGTTTTCGACGAAGGGCAACCGTCTGAGGGGTTTCAAGATCCTTATCCCTTAAAGGGCTTTAATATGTCTGCTCTTGATTGATATTTTCTGCGGAATATAGGGATATGTTTGAGTGTTACGGTTTGTGTGGCTTCTAGTCTCGGTAAATGTGTATATGCTTAGGCTTACTTCACTTTATATGGTATATTATTAGCTATCATAATATATGTATTCTGCGTGGTTATCATAGATTGGTTATTAACATTAAAATATTTATTGTCTAAAACATTTCGCCCCACTTAGTGCCACTCTAGATCCCAAACCAGATAGCCTGCTTTTAATCCCCCCCAAACGATTCTAACTATTGCACACACCTTTGGCTACTTACAAATAACTCTTTCTCACCGATTAAATTTTGAATTTAATATGTTTTCGGTTCTAATACTTCGCAGGTGGCCGAGATACCCTGAGGATTTTCCATTTAGCGGAGCACTTTGGTTGGGTTGAATATGTATAGAAAACTTAAGGGCCTAAGGAGGTTTTTGGATTGGTATTTTTGGGAAGTTTCGTAGGCGCCAGGCTCTCGGGGCTCACAAAAGCCTGGTCCTCTCAGCTTAAGAGCAGTGCCAAACAGAAATCCATCAGAGATCAGAGCTCAACCACCGGCAACTAAAAGAAAACTAGATCCTAAACCAGCTTAGGTCATGTGCAGATCCCCCTTGAGGATGCGCGTGAAGGTCTTCTTGAACTGCTGGTTGGCCAAAGCGTAGCAAAAGGGATTCATGGGGCTGTTGGCGTAGCACAGGAAGTACGAGAACATGTAGAGGTGCTCATTGATGCAGGGCGGATGCCGGCAGAAACCCTCGACGAGGGCCAGCACATGGTAGGGTGTCCAGCAGGCCACGAAGCAGCCCAAAATGAACGAGATCGTGCGGAACGCTTTGCGGGCACGATTCTCGGACTTTGACTTCTGCCTCCCGCCCACGCCGAGGATCAAAGGCAGGGCCTTCTTGCTCTTGAAGTGCTTGCCTATCGAGTGGATGAAGGCCCGCTTGCTGGAGTTCCGGCTGGCCCCCAGACCCGCCTTCTCCTCCCTGGCTGCCGCCTCCTCCGCCTCCTGGGCGTCGTCCTTCCTGGCCTCGCTTTCGCCTGCACCGCTGGTGGTGCCCGAGGTGGAGGCCATCTTGTTGGTGTTACTATCCGACGCCTCCCGCTCCTCGATGCGTTCCAGGATCGCCGGCGGCGGCGGCGGCGGAGGAGTTGCTGCCGCCGACGACTGGGGCGTGGTCGCCGTTTTGACCTTGGGCGAGAGGGGCCTCGGTGGCATCGGGGAGTAGAGTATCGCATCCTTGCTGCTCGTCTCCATGGGACTGGAGGCCCGGCGATGTGGGCAGTCGGCCGCCTGCTTCCCGGGCACATCCAGCAGGCAGATGGCCTCGATGCAGCTCTCCCGCCTGACCTTGGCAAAGTCCTCGATGCCTGTGTACGAGACGAGAAGACGTTTTTCAATGGCCACCGCCTCCTCGAGACTCTGACTTTGGCTCTGGTTGTGATTTGGGTTCAGATTGAGGCTCAGGCTCAGGCTTTGACTTTGACTTTGGCTGGGACTCTGGTTTTGACTGTGGCTTTGATTCAGGTTTGGTTTTGGTGGATTTCGGCGGGCGGGCGGTGGTGGAGGCAGGACTGGAGGTGGCTTCCCGCCCGGGGCACTGTCGTTCGGGGAGTTCGTCGTATTGGCATTCGACACCATGGCCATGGAGCTCTCGTCCATGTAGCGCAGCTCCGAGTTGGTCATCAGGTCATAGGTCAAGGCCAGCTCGCTATTGCCCGAGCTGTTGCCAAAGGGACGGTCCGAATAGTCCTCGGACAGCGGGGTGGGGCACTGGAAGGCGTCGGGGGGCGGCAGGATGGTCTGCACCAGACCCTGATGCACCTCATCGCTGGGCACCTCAATGGGTGCCAAATCGACGGGGGACAGGGGATCACTGATCAGGGCAGGAGAGGTCGACGAGAGGTCAACCAAGCGATCATGCTCGGCTATCTGGGACAGTTGGGAGCAGGAGGTGCGTTTGGGCCGGTCCAGCGGTGCGGGACTTTGGTTTTGGTTCTGATGGTGGTGCTGATTCTGCTGATGGTGGTGCAGGGAGCGCACCTCTTCCTTGCTCTGCGCCCGCTGCAACGGACTCTGGCTGTGGTGGTGGTGGTGCTGTTGGTGGTGGTGGTACTGGTGCATGGCCTCGATGGACTTGGAGTTGGTGGTGCTCTTCTGCAAGTTACCTTTGCCCCGCGTGGCCAGCAGGGCGGCCTGTGCCCCAAAGACCAGGCCAATCGAGGATCGCTTGCGCATGTTGTTCAGCTTCTGCTGGGTGATCAGCTGCTGGGCCTGATTGACGGATGACTCCTCATCGGAATCAAAGGCAGGACTGCTGCTACGTTCGCTCTTCTCCGCATCCACGGCCGCCTCACGTTTCTTCGCCTCCTCCTGGATTTTGGCCGCCGAAGCTCGCCGCTGTTCCGGCGTCATCTTCTCCACCTCCATTTCCGTAGCGGCGGCCAGGGGATTCGCCTGACCCGAACCACTCAGCCGCTTGATCACAGTGGTGCAGGCACTATCCAAATCGGTCTGATCCCCGCCCGCTAGCTCCACCTTCGTCTTCAGGATCTTCTCCTCGATCACCCCGATGCCCGCCGCATGTCCTGCCATCCCGGACATCGCACCTGCACTCAGGGCCACCATGGACTGCATCTTCCGCTGCTTGGCCTCACTGCGCTTCTGCATATCGTAGGCGGTTTTGTATATACCAGCATAAAGAACGAAGAGCACGATCAGCGTGGTCCAGTAGTAGCCGATGATTAGGGCCGTATTGAAGATCGGATCCTTGAGAAACTGAACGGCACACTGGCCGGGCAGCAGGTCCCGCTTGCCGGTGAAGTGCTCCCACCCAAAGATCGAGATGAAGAAGAGCAGGGCGGGTATGATCCAGGTGATCGTCACCATGTAGATAACCCGCGTTCGCGTCCTCCAACTCCGGTACTTGGCGGCGATCTTCACCGAGCAGTAGCGATCTATGGTGATCAGCAGCACCGTGTACTGGGACACCAGACAGACCGTGTAGTCCACGGAGAGCCAGAGGTCGCAGAGCATCGGACCCAGGTCCCAGTAGCCCTTCAGCACGTATATCGTGTAGAAGGGCATCGAAACGGTTCCTGAAAGAAATAGATAAGTTGGTATTAGGGAATTAATTGGAATTCGAGGGAGTGCGAGGGAAGTGGAGATATGCAAGCAGCAAAGCGACTGCTTGAACTGCTTGAACGCTGTCATCTTTATTTGCTCATAACTTTTAAGTAAATGGTCCGATTTTAATAATTTTTAACATGTCGATAGGTATTAATACACAAAACAAAATCGTATTAACTTTTTAAAAACAGACGGAGAGATGAAGAATATATCCGAGTAATAAATTCTACGAGTAACACACCCGTTAAATATATTCCAAAGACTCACCTATCAGCATATCCGTGGCTGCCAGCGAGGCAATGAAGTAGTTACTCGGCTGCCGGATATTCCTGTCCACGATAAAGGCCAGTAGCACCAGGATATTACCGCCCACCGTCAGAATGATGCAGATGGCCAGGCAAATGGCAATCAGTATCGTCTGCCACAGGGCAAATGGAGGCAGCACAGGTCCGAGGATCTCCGAGTCGGAATTGGATTCCGACATGGTGGAACCGCCATCCAAGGAGTGATTTCGCACGCCCAGCAAAAGGTTCGTATTGTTGACATCGAAGTTCCGGTACCATTGTAGCTGATCATTGACCGACCAGGAACTAAAGTCACTGCTCTCGCCATAGATCTTGGCGGCCTCCAAAAGACGCTTGCACTCCGTGTGGGTCAGGACTCGCTTAAAAAGGACGCTGCACAGCTTATCACGCTCCTTTCTGAGGCTCCTGAAGTTGGAAAAGAAATAATTAGTTATTGGCTTTAGAGAAGAATGAATAAATTGGCTTCAAATTAGAACTCTTTAAAGTTTCCCTAACAATAGAGGAAGTCTTTCTTTTTCACTCCTTATTTTACTCTAAAAAGACATTGTGTTCTACATTTTACAGGAATTACTATTTTGAAAGGCGCCTTTATTCTATTAAGCTTACTCACCAGTCGGTGATCCACTTGTTCTTGATGGTATAGATGGAGTCGCTGGAGTTGCCATTGAGGCCAGTCAGCTCCTCCTCGCCCGCCGACTTGTTAAGCGACCGCATCTCTTACCGCTCCGCCCTCCGCTTCCCTCTTTCCGCTCCCCGCTTCCCGCTCCCTGCTCTCCCCGACCTCTGCGGTCTTTATGGTAATTTCAAGTTGTTCCTCCTTAATGTGCTGTCGACGACGTTTGTCCCGGAATGCTTACATTGCCTCCACGGAATGCCAGGACTTGTCTCCGGTCAGGTGCAGCATCTGCAAGAGGCAACAAAAGCAGCTCTTAGATTTTGCACTTGGAAAAAAATATAAACGAGATTAAATTTTAATTGAAATATTTTATTATTTAATTTTTTGGTCTTAAAAGATTTTTTTTTTATTTATTGAATTAAGTCTTGGAAGAAGTTAAAAATATTTAAAAATGTTTAATATATTTTTGTTGCCTAAAGATAAGTAGGGGAGTGTAGGGTAATTTGACGAGTAGGGTAATGTGACGAACTCGTCGAATCTCATATATGACGTCACGACAAAAATTCCAAATAAATGTAGTCGTCTCCCCTTATCGTGTCGACAATGTATTTACAGTAATATTAATAAGAAGTCCCGTAATTTGTTCGTGAGGTAATTTTTTCTAAAAATGTGGTGCGCAAACTAGCAAACCTATTCAATTTACTTGTGTTTCAGCAGTACCAGAGCAAAGATGAGTGAAAAATATAACCAGGCAAATATATGCACGTATACATGAGATCTTTATCAACAGTTTTTGGTACCTCGCGTTTTTATCTTTTGCGCCGTTTGAGAGTGACACCGTTTTTGCTCCAAGTCTACCTTGTAGGGTATCGTGACGAACTTTTTGTAGGGTATTGTGACGAACTTTTTTTATTCAAGAATTTTAATTGTTATCGTTAATTATTTGTAAAAAAAATATAATAATACCAGATAACATTTACTGCTGCAGTTTTATTGTTGTTTTTAATAGTGAAGTCAATTTAATTTAATTAAACAAAAAAAAAAAATTTTTAATTTAAAAAATTGCATTTTGACCTTTTTTTTTGTAAGTTTCGGTATTATCTTATTACTTCTTTCTTTTCCGTATCGAAAATAACTTTTCCGTAAATTTTTCAGAAATATGCTCAGTAAATGTAAGTAACTTTCTGCTTTTACACTTTTAAAAAATATTGATTTTTGGAGAAGTTACATTAAAGAACAAATCGTTCGTCACATTACCCTACAACTTTTTAAAGTGCAAAAAAAGAAGGGTTCACGCCAAACGCTGTGGCACTTGGCTGCATTGGAATTTCGAATCCGAATTTTACAGGGATATGCTCAGTAGATGTAAGCAACTTTCTGTGTTTACACTTTTGAAAAATATTGATTTTTAGAAAAGTTACATTCAAAAAACGAATCGTTCGTCACCTTACCCTACAGTCCCCTATATAATTTAGCGATGTTACGCTGTTTTTCAATAAAATTCGATCCAACAGATTCAAAAGTTTTCCTAACATTTTTATTATAATAAACCGCCTCTTAAACATTTTCTTTCCGCGTAGTCTTCGTGGACATCTTCGCTTCCGCCAAGTTTAAACTAATTTTGCAACCGTTAACTGGCAACCGGCGACTGGCGATGCAATTTGCTTGTGGCAGTTGCTTCCTGCCCGCTGCTCCTTCCTTTGTCCCGTTGTACTCTGTTATGTTGCCTCATTATGTTACGGCATGATTTGCTTATGGCTCTGCCACTTGAGCTTCGAGCGGCCTTCGCTCGCCGTCGCCCTTCCCATTTTTCTATCTCTCGGCTCTTTTTGTATTCAGTGATTTTCTTGACCTTTTTAAATGAGGTACTGAGGGTATTCTATTTAGACTGACGTTTTGTTAGGTGAAACCTGAAACTCTATTGGCGGGTAAAGTTATTTTGGGTATAACCTTTAAACAATTTAAAATAAACCAATTAAAATAATAATTGTATTAATAAAATAAGCCAGGCACACTCTAAATTAAACTAATTATAATATTTATTGAAATGTGTTATCAATTACCTAAAAAGGGAAAAAAGAATTTTTAATTTATTTCAACTTCCTAGTCGACCCAGAAATCCTGTAAGTTAACTTAATGTTATTTTAAAATATTATTCTAGGTTTACTGCTGGTAAAATATTTAATAATATGTAGAATTAACAAAGAATAATAAATTAATAAAACACATCAAATAATTTAAAAGTCATAAATGTATTATTAAATTAATATTTAATAAATAAAATACTTTTAAATTGTGTCAAAATTTCTAAGCGTATATCGTAGTCGACCCACAGAGCCTCCAAGCCTCCGACTTGATGTTATTTAAAACTAAATGCTTGTATTCACTGGCAGGGCAAAGTTTCTTCCGCTGAGGTCACTCGGAGGCCAGAGGCTGCTCAACTTCTTGACTGTTGCATTTGGCCCAAGGAATGGAATCCACCAAAGTTGTCCTCGTTGTTTGTTATTTTTAGAGTGCCCGGCTGGCAGGAAGGAGGAAGCAAGGTGGAGGCATAAAGCGGCAGGGCGAAATTGAGTTTTCAACTTTTCAAATATAATTTCAAACAAATCGATAGGACAAACTTGTGGAGCGGCCTCTTTGGCAGGCAAATTCCACAAGGGACAATCGAGTTATCCGCTGTTGCATCTTCGCAAGTGTTGCATCCTTGCAGCTCGGCACGTCCGCTGGCACTTTGATTGAGTGGAAATTGAATTAGTTGAGACAATTTGTTTTCATTTAATTCCCAAAACATTGCCACAGCCAAGATATCCGGCTAACCGAGTTAGTTGCAAGAAAGGTTGCTTCCTTAATCCGTCAACACATGCGACAATCCTGGGTTGACAGATGTCAGACGCTGTCGCCCCGCTTTTTGTCATCGGAAACCCGTAACCAAATCTTGCAGCAGACCCTCAACCAAACCCAAATCAACGAGCAGTCCCAATTTCTATGCTAATTGAGGGGTAGAGTTTGTGGGTTAAGCGCTTTGATTGCAAGAAATTCGCACCAGAAAGTGCTTAAGTCTGTGAAATGGGTTGAGCCCCCAAAAAAGGTTACAAAAAGGCAGTACAATTAGCAGATAGTTGATGGTGGGGATTAATGGGGTTCTAAAATGTTACAGGTGCTTTATAAATCTGAGAGTTGGTTAATATAAAATTATTACAAACATTATTTACAAACAAAAACTGCTTATATTTACTTGTAAAACCTGTTACATTACATTGACAAACTCCTTCCCTTCCCTACAATCAAGTGCTTACAAATAAGTACTTTATTGACTTTTATTCGATAAGTGTTCTGTTATGTCCCCACGTCCCTCTTGGTTAACTTAGCTCTAACTGCACTCCCCGACCTCCGTGGCTTTGGCCCAACTATGTCGTAATAACCTTTTACTAACTCCCAGTGGCACAGAAGCATTCTCGCCACACAACACGTGAAGTAATAATCCCGCTTAAGGACCTTAAGCCTTTGTCTAGTTGACCACCGAGTTGAACGGCGCTTTTCCTGCTCCTGCTCCTTTTGTCCTGGAAGTCCCGGAGTTCCAAGTTGACCGCACAACAAAAACAGAAGGCAGCAGAAAGCCGTAAGATCAAAGCGTTGATCTGGAGGGGCGGAGGAGGTTGCTACTCGGTCACAGTTTCCGGCTTCCATGGCAACTTTAAGTTAACTGCACTTGGATAAATAGGATGTTTACTATTGCAATTTATATTTAAATTTTTTGAATTATTTCGTATACTTCTTAATTCTTTTAAAAAAGTTATGAAAGATATTCAAAAACGTAGTAGAAATTTTATTTTAACATTTTTAAATGAGGTATACCTAATAATCCTTTTAAAAAATGATGAAAAATATTTAAGGAGAAGCCTTTGAGGGGCTTATAACGAAGAACAAATTTTAAAAACAAATTATTCAGCAATGAAGGGGAAATCGGGATCATCAAGTTTCGAATTAAAGGTAATGGTGATAAGGCAAAACATTTAAAGCGTGTTAGGTAATAATTTCCTCCGCTCATGTATTAAAAATTTCTTTCGAAAGTTAGGCAAAGTCCAGCATTTTCCGATGCATTTTCCGCAGTACAGTGATGGGGTTTCTGTTGCATTCTGGCCTTTCATATCTCGCATCTCCCTGCAACGGACATAGCTTGGGCTTAAAACAGAATCGAGGTTACCGCACGAATGACACACGGTCTGAAAAGGGTGGAAAAAGGGGGCCATAGGAAGTAGTGGGATTTCAGCGGGGACTATGGCCAAGCCGTTGGCTTTGTTTGCACAACTCAAAGTTGTTGGCATTCTTGGCGTGCGCTCAGAAAGTGAAATATGTAAGCAATGTGTTTGCCTGAATGGCTGGCAGGACCCAAAGGATCCGAAGGGGAGAAAAGGTAAGGCAGCACCTTAAATCAGCAATTATGTCGCGCAACTTTTGCCAGGTGCCAGGTGCAAAAGGGAGAGCAATAAAAAAGGGATTGAGATTGAGATTGAGGCGGTGGATACCCCCTTGTTAGATAAGATTTTGCCCGCTCTTGTTGCCATAATAACCCGCTTTCGCCTTTTGCCGTTTCTTGCTTTTTTGCCTTTTAATAAACTTATTAAATGTGTAAGCCAGCCGTTGTCCTTGCCGCTGCCGTTTCTCATCCTTTTTCTGGCTTTTATTTGGCAAATAATGAAAAGTAATTTAATCAAGGCAACAAAAGGGCTGAGAAATTCATCAGGAAAGATAACGGAAGTCCCCAAATTTGATTGGCACTTGAACCGGAGCCTCCTTTTTTTTTCCGTCCTGCATAACCAGGCATAGGGGTCTCCCAACCGGGACTTTCGCTGTGGTCTTGTGTTAATTGCCTGCACAAAGCCCCTGCAATGTCGGTTAGCGGCTTCCAATCATGCGCTAATATCCGCATCGCCAAAAGCTTTGAAGGCTGCATCCATAATCCGGCCAACCAAAGGTATGAGATGATGCTGGTTCGGCATTCTGGAGCGTCAAAAACTGTCAACGGCCATGGCGTTCTTTTGTGCCCAAAACCCCTGGCCGCAGATTATGATTTTGACAGCATTCTCTGGCCGGAATGGGAAAAATGGGGAGGCCGGGGAATAGCGGGCTGTGTGCCGCATAATCAACTTGTGCAAGTGCGCCCGGCAAGTTTTAATTACAAAACGTTCAGGCGTTCTTCACTCTACTCTCACTGGCACTTCCATTTCAAGCTCTTCTCCCTTTTCCGCTTAATTCATCTTGGTTCTAGGAGTCTAGATTAA